ATGTCTCTGTAAAACTATATATAAAATTATCTCTAAAACTAACTCTAAAACAACTCTAAAATTAACTGACTATAAAATTATATTCTTTTGAGTTTAAATACTTTTTTGCTTATATACTGAGGTGGTTAATATTGACGTGGCTAGTATGACATAATGTTGACGTGGCTGGTATGACATAATAATTATGTGGCTAAATATAATCACCTTACAGATATAGATTATTGATACATTACATTTGATGTAATGAAAAGGTATATGATTATGACTAAGTTACACAACTAAAATACTTAACGAAAATATAATAAACTCTAAAATAAACACTTATGGAGACGCAATAAAATATATTAACACAAACTAAATAATAAACGCTAAAACACTTAAATTACTTAAAAACACTTAAAACAATTATGAGAACACTGAAATATACTTTATTTATTATTTTATCTTTATTACTTGTTTAAACATATATATATAACTAAACTAAAATCAACTAACTAAGAAACTCTAAAGTTTTAGACTGAGGACTTGATGTATTTATACTGAATGATATTAGTTCTAGAAGCTAATTCTTAAGTAGTTGAAATACTGGCATTGGTAGTTATTATTAAAAAGCAGTTACAAAATACTGGAATAGGCAGTTATTAAAAAGCAGTTATAAAATACATTTTTACTTAAAGGTATAGACTATCGATTCATTACATTGAAAATTATTAAAGGGACTATAGTTTAGTTGGATATAACGACCGGCTACGAACCGGTAGGTCTCAGGTTCGACCCCTGATGGTCTCGTAATTTTTTTATTATTTTTCTTTTTTTTCTTTTTTTTTTTTTTTTTTTTTTTTTTTTTTTTTTTTTTATAAAGACCCATTGCCAGGGGGAACGGGGGAACAAAGGGAGCTAGGGGGGGAGCAAATTTCAAGGGGTAACTAAAAAAAAATTTTAAATAAAGATAAATTTTTTTTTTAAAAAAAGATATATTTTAAAACCCAAAAATAATTTTATTTTATCGGGGACAAATATCCAAATCAATATCTCTTTCTATTTATACATATTCCGAGATATGGACCCAGTTTTATATATTTCTCTCCCGAGGAAAAAGGTTTATTTAAATGTATTTATTTCTCCTAAATATTTATAGAAAAAATCTCATAAAAAATATTTTTAAAAAAAAGAAATTTTTAAAATTAAAAAAAAAATTTCCGGTTTTTAATTTATTTTTATATATATCGAAATCCACCCCTTCTCCTGTTTCCCGATATTTTTAAAAATGACAAAAGTTGTAGAAAAAAATAAAATAGATAAAAAAGTAGAAAAAACTACACCAGTTTCAACTATTGCAAAAAAGACATTAGAAATTAAACCAACTAAACCAATTAAATCTAAAGATACAACAACAACTGCAACAAATAAACCATTAAATAAAGAAAAAGAACCAAGTTTAAAAGTAATAAATTTAGAAGATTTATTAAATAATAAAAATAAAGAAAATAAACAAGATAATAAAACAACAATAAATAGTAATCTTAAAGGCGATAAACTTGTACAAGAAATTTTATCATTTTTTAAACTTGAAACCAATACAGGTAAATATAAAATAATAATAAAAAAGCAAATATTTCAGCAAACTAATAGGTTTTAATTATTATAGTAAATTTAAATGAATCAATCGAAAAATTAGAAAATGAAATTAAAGAAAAAAATATTGCAATTATAGATAAAGTTTCAAATAATTATTTAATGATTATGGAATTAGTTGAAAAGTTAATAGAATCAAACGAAGTAACAGGATTAGTTGTATTGTTAATGATTAGTCGTTCAGTTTCATCATTTAATTTCCCAAATTTAATCGAATCACTTATAATTAAAAAAGATAATTTCAAGATTGTTTCAATGGTATCAAAATGTTTTACCGATATCAGCAGCGACAACATTAAGGACTTGGTTCAATACATTATTTCAAATAAACAATTCAAATCAATTAAAGACCAATTAGAGCAATTACAAAATTTATCATCATCATCAACCAACGATATTACAGCATGCAAAGAGTTGGACTCTATTTTAACCATACCAGTTACCCACGATTCAATGGTAGTTTCAATTCGTTCATTATCACTCAGTACAGTATTATTACTTCTTAAATATTTATATTCAAGAATTTCATTGTTCTCTTTAGATGACACCCAAGAAAACAACAATACATTCACCTTAAAACAAATTGTAGATTGGATTTCATTAATTTTTGATTCACACTTCCAAGAACTTTCAAAAGTCGAAAATATAAATCAATATTTTGGTCCAATTCGTTCATTACACAATAACACTAAATCTTTCTTTTACACCAAATCCTTCATTGACTTTTTAGAAAAATCTTCCTCTACCAAATCTATTGAAAATAATAACTATTCAATTTATCATTATAAATTTTAAAAGTAAAAATAAAAAATAAAAAATAAAAAAAATAAAAATTATAAAACATACACAAACTATTTATTTATTTATTTATTTTATTTATTTATTTGTTTGTTTTTATTTTGTATTTTTTTTATAAAAAAAAAAAAAAAAAAAATAAAAAAGTTTGATTAAAAACTATTTACATTTATATATTTATTTTATTTTATTTTTATTTATTTTATTAACTATTAATTATATCTATCTTGCAATTCATTAATTATATTGTTTGCTATGTTTTGAATCTTTTTACCATGATCTGCTAATGAATTTGAGATTGATGAGAAATCGGTTCTTGCATTGAATGCCAAATGTCTAGCTATACCACCAACACTCATATCACCTAATGTCGGGGTTTCATCACGTTCATAGTATTGAGCCGATGATATAGATGTTGCACCTGAAAATTTTGAAATACGGTTCTGTTTATCTGCATCCACTTTACCATCCTTATCATCACCATAATATTGATTTGACGAAATTGATTTTGCATTTGAAAAATTCTTTCTAGCATAATCTGTTTCATCTTGTTCATAGTTTGATTTTCTTGTGTTTGGAGGTGAATAATTATTTTTGCTAAAGTTTGCTTTATTACTATTATTTGGTTTTAATGGCGGTGAATTATTATTGTCATTAGATTGTCTACTAGATTTATTATTATTATTATTATTCATTGAAAATTTAGAGTTTGAATATATTGAAAATCCCCTATAAAAAAAGAAAAAGTACAATTATTAATTTTTGAAAAATATATAGTGTTTATATTTAAATAATACTAACGTTTCTGGTGAATCATAACTATTATCACTATCACTATTTCTGTTATCTCTTTTGTTACTATTAAATTCATCTTCGTTATCATCTTCAATAAAATCATTATTAAATTTATGTGATGACCTTGATGTTGGTGTAGATGTCGATGTTGATTTCTTTTTTGATGACTCTACCTTAACTGGCTCTTCTTTTTTGTCTGGTGTAGAATCCCAATCGTCATCGAATGATTTTTGATCAATCTTTTTAGTTGCAATTTTTTTGGTTGTGGTAACTGATTTTGGTGGTGATGATGAAAAGAAACTGTCAAAATCATCAGCATCATCTGTATCAACTAACCTACCAGTTATATTTGTTGCTTTTGTTGTGGTGGTTGGCTTTTTATTATTGATTGTTGGTGTAGATGTTGTGGTGGTTACTGTTTTTGGTGTTGTATTTGATGATGTTGTTGATATTGATAATGGTGAAGGTGTAAATGGTGATGGGTTATTCGTTGGTGTTGATGTTGATGTTGATGTGGAAGCTGTTGAGGACGATGGTGATGCACTTGATAAATCTTTTAACCTATAAATGATATCGTTTAATATGAGTATTTATTGTTTATATAAAGTATTTTTAAAATAATATTTACGCTTTTTTAACTTTTGTATCTAACAACTGTTTATAACTTGATGCTGCATCGCTTTGATATTTGGATTCGATTTTATTATTACTAACACCATGTTCTGAAAAATATTGTTTTGCATTTAAATTACCTCCATATTCCATATATTTCAATTGTGATAACTTCCATTTATCAAATTGTGTTGATCTATTAATAAAAAAAAAGATAATGTTAATACTATTAAACTATTTATTTTTTTATTTTATATTCTTATATGTTTTTACCTTGCAAATGTAATATGAACACCCATATTACGATGAACTGACGAACAATCTAAACAAATGAATACCCCAAATGGAATTGATGCCCATTTTGGTCCTTTTGCATTACAATCAAAGCACAATTTATTCTCTGGTTTACTTAATAACTTTAAAAAAAATAAATTTGATTCCTCTTGTGGTAGAAATGAATTTGATTCCATAAATTGTTTTATTATTATTATAATAAATTGCTATATTTAATTTTTATTGTAAATATATAATATTAAAATGATTTACTAAAGAGTGTATATAAATATTCTGATATTTGATTTTAGATATATTAATAGAAAAAACAATAACTTGAAGAAGAATAAAAAATAATAGAAGCTGTATTTGAAAAAAAAAAATTTATGTAAATAAAAAAAATAAAAAAAAAATTTAATAATAAATTTAAATTAAAAAAAAAATATATTTTTTTTTTAAATTATTTTTTTTTTAATTTTTATAAATTTATTAATTTTTCAATATCCATTACTGGTCACAAATAATTTATTACTTTTTACATTTTTTAATTTAAAATGACAATAAATATTATCTTTTGAAAATACAAACCAAATATGCATAACCACAGTTGTGTAATTATAAAAATAATAATAATAATAATAATGTCATTTATTTAAAAAATAAAAATAATAAAACAGACGTGGGGGGTAATATCACAAATCTTGGCTTGTCATAAAGAAAACGTTGCAACTATGACACAGTATCCCAACTTTTCAATAACACTTCCATCATAAAAAAACACTTTTATTATTGAAAGGGAAAAAGTTAATTTTAGCAGCAAGTAATAAACTTCCAGATTTAATTGGGACTTTTATATTACTAAAAACTAGCTAGCCATGTCATGTACAACCCTTCATCACTTTAAATTTAGCTACCAAATCAATTGTAGTTACTATAACCATTCCTTACCAATATCTTTACCTGAAATATTTTTTAAGCTCTATCTTGACCAAAATCCTTTCCTAAAAGTGTATTTTTAAGTCATTGATTCATAATTTTAGAAAAAAAAAATAAAAAAATAAAGTTAATATAGCCGAATTAGTATTCAGCAATAATTTAAATAAAAAAAATCGAACCATTTTCACTATCATCATTACTAACTTTACATAAATAAATTACCCCCATCAAATTTTTAATGAAAATGTAATAGGTTTCGATGGATATTAAGTAAGGCTCTTGGACTTCAAAATCTAGATATTGGAGTCCCATTTAATCAAGAGCCATTGAAATGTTCATTAAATCTTCCAATTATGAAAACTCCTACTTATCAACTTTTGGTACCAAACTACCAGGTATATACCTCAAAACCTATTGAACTTAATGTTGGTCATCCAATCAACAAAAATTTTCAAAAAGGTTCTATTCCTTCATTTCTCAAATCATTGGTGCTTGCTGGTATCTACAATCAACCATTTGAACCAAAAGTACTACCCTAACACTTGGTAATAGTTTTAAATAAAAATCTTTTACCAACTTAGTATTACGAAATACACATTATCGATCCATCCTTCCAAATGATTTACCTCATCTCTTAAACATAAACTCTTGCATAAGATTTTAATATTCATGGGATCCCTACCCCCATCACTATAATATTAAATAAATGGTGACCATTTTTATCAAACAATCGGTCCAAATAATACTATTCCTCACCGGAGAGTTATTTACGGTAACGGTTTTCCTAAACTATATCCATTTAAGAACCAATATTTATAATAAAATCATTTGCCATAAATAACACACTCCCACACCAAAAAAAATTTCCAAACCTTTTTTTTCATTTTAAAAACACAAATATTTTAAAATAAAATAAACAAAAAAAAAAAAAAAAATTAAAATAAGTAATCAACTTTTCAAATAATATATTCAATCACTTTTTTTTTTAACACATTAAATATTTTAAAATAATAAAAGCTATAATTAGTTTAATAAAAAATATCTTTTTTTTTTTTTAAAAAATAAATATTTGTTATTTGAAAAAAAAAAAAAAAATCTATTGGATTAAAAATTTTGAATGTTTAATATAACAATCAAAGATTTCAATTTTTTTTTTTTTTAAAAAATATTTTTTTTTTCAGATTTAAAATACAACTTTACAATAAAAATTGGTTTTAAATTTTTTTTCATATCTTCAATTAAATAAATTATAATTTTGTGTTCTTTTTTGGAAATTGATACTTATTTTAAAATTAAAATTGAAAATAATAATATTATTAAATAAAAAAATAAAAATAAAATATTTATTTTTAAACAAATAAAAATAAAATTATTCAACCAAAAAAAAAAAAAAAATAAAAAAAAAAAGACAAGAACACTCGGTTTTTTTTTTTTATTTTTTTTTATTTTTTTTTTTATTTTTTATTATTTTTATTATTTTTTTTTATTTTTTTTTTATTTTTTTTATTTTTTTGTTTTCACATAATCCATAACAAAAAAAAATAATGTGTCAACAAAAAAAAAAAAAATTGTATGGAAATTAAAAAAAAAAAAAAACGATGGATTATAATTTCAAATAATTTAGTTGATGTTGGGGGATAATCTTTTACACCCACGTAAACAAAATTATCCTACTTTTCATTTAAACCAAAAACATATTGATATTTTCGCAGTGTGTTTTTTTTTTAAGCCAAATTTTGAAAATTTTTAAAAAATAATATTGCGTTTCCAAAAAAAATTTAAACAAATTTAAAAAATAATAAAAATCTGGGTTGGTTATTTTAAAATAACCTACCTACTTTCACATTAACACAATAGAAAAACAGTAACACATCAATAACAACTAAATTATTTTGATTTAAATAATTTTATTTTATTTTATTTTATTTTGTTTTTTTATTTTTTATTTTTTATTTTTTATTATTTTTAAAAAAACTTTTTCCACCTTTTTATTTTTTTTTTTTTATTATTATTTATCATAATTTAAAAGTAAAATAAAAAAAAAATAAAATAATATTTAAATATTATTAGAGTGTGTACATAAAAAAAAAGTAAATAATATTTTGTAAATTTTTCCCATATCCTATATATTTTATTTTTTTTATTTTTATTTTTTATTTTTATATATTTTTTTTTTCCAAGATCCCAAATTAAATATATAAATTATTTGTAATACTACAATCACTTAAACAAAAAACTTAAGTAAGTAAAATAAAAAAAATAAAAAAAGAGTTTGAAAATTTTGGTTGACCAAAAAAAAAAAAAAAAAAAAAAAAAAAAAAAAAAAAAAAAAAAAAAAAAAAAAAAAAAAATTTATTTTTTATTTTGTGGTTTAACCAAATTTTTGTCTCTATAGACGCATATTTATAAAAAGTCTTAAATTTATTTTTTGGGGTGGCCCTGTGTTTAAATTTGGCCCAAAATCAATGAGAAAGTATATTTTATTTCATTTTTAAAAAAAGCCCCCTTTTTTTTTTTTTTTCCGTAAAAAAAAAACCAAAATGTATTATAATACTATTTTTTTAAAGACTTTTGCACTTTTGTGTATGGTCGTTGCTATTTATGCAGATTCAAAACAACGTATGTATATATATTTTATTATTTTATAATTTTAATAAAATCAAAAATTAATAAATTTTTTTTTTTTATATAATAGCAACCCTCACTCTTAAAGGTCAGATTTTTGATCAACATCCATTTTTTAATAATAATTTCGAACCAGCAGGGGGTAGTCTTAGAGTTGGTCTCGTTAATCCACAAATCGATACACTCCATAGAGTCCCAGTTTTAAGATCTCTTGATAAAAACAATCAAGTCAACAAGGATGGCAGAATGATTACACCAGAATATTTCCAATATTTCTTTTCCTCAAATAATGGGGCCCCAGTAACTGCAAATTCTGGTAGAAATGAAGTTGTCTATTTTGATGTTGTTTTAAATTGGGACGACCAAAAGGGTGTTTATGTTTATAACAACCAAAAGTTTTTCCCAATTAACAATAAAGGTTTTGATGCTTCAAAATCATATCAAGGTATTGAATTAAAGAGATATAGTGATGGTTCCAATTATCAAAATTTCCATTTCTGTTTAAAAGTTAATTCCAAATTCACCTATTCCGTAAGCATATCAATTTATATTTCAAAATATATATTTTATAAAATTTTATTAAAATTTTAAATTTTTTAGGGTTATGAAATTTTTGATTTTACTGGTGATGATGATGTCTATGTATTTATTAATGATGTACTCGTTGTAGATTTAGGTGGTCTCCATACTTCAGAAAGTAAAAGTGTATCATTATCCACATTAAAACTCAACAAAGGTCAAACTTACAACTTTGATTTCTTCTATTGTGAAAGACACACAACAGCTTCAACCATCAAAATCAGTACCAACATCGAAGTATACTGCCCATGGGAAGATTACTGTGGTGCTTGTCAAGGTGATGGTAGCAACTGTTGTAATGAAAATGTTTGCAATGATAGTGACCCATGCACCATCGATATATGTCCACCACCACAAACAGTTATTGCTCCAGGTAAAAAAATTAGTGATTATTGCACTCACGTTTATGATACTAATTTCTGCTCTGCCCAAGAAAATGCCTGTGTCTCTCTTAAATGCGAAAAACAAGTTGCCCCAGTTACTGGCGCTTATTATCCAAAATGTGTACCAACAAAGAATGTAACTGTTTGCCCACTTTCACAAGCTGATATCGATAATTGTTATGAAGCTGTTAACTGCGATCCAGTCAAAGGTTGCGGTAAAAAATTCAAATGTGATTATGGTTTCTATAATTGTAATACTGGTAAATGTGATGGTAAAGGTAATTGTGTTAAGAAAACTGATGAATTCTGTTACGATGAACAACAAAGTTACTGCCAAGATTACACTTGTCAAGAGGGTAAAGGTTGTGTTATTAAAGGTCTTAGATGTCCAGTAAATGTCAGTGAACCATGTTACGAATATAAATGCGACTATGCAACTGGTGCCTGTAGTACTATTAAAATCCCAGATGACTTATGTACTGGTTGTTGCTCTGTCAACGATTACACAAAATGTCAAGTTGCTTTTTGTGAAGACGGCCATTGTAAACCAAAGAATAAAGTAGATTTACCAGATTATGATGATAATAACCCATGTACAATTAATACTTGTGATGAACTAACTGGTAATATGGTTTATACCCCAATTAAATGTGGTGGTTGTGAACTTTGCAACAGAAAAAATGGCCAATGTGAACCAAACAACTCATTATGCTCAGTAACCAATAATTGTACTCTTCCAAATTGTGTCCATATTGGTAATAAAGATGATGTCCCAACTGGTGAATGTCAAAATAAAGAAAAACAATGTGGTCAAGATGATCCAGATAAGTGTAAAGTTTGGAAATGTAATGCAGATTCAACTAATGAAGATAATTGCGAATTTGAACCAGTTGTTTGCCCACCAAAAGGTAATTGTTTAGTTGGTGCTTGTGATAGCGGTTCAGGTGAATGTGTCTATTCCAATAGAGTTTGTGAATCACCAGCTTTCTGTATTGTCGCCGAATGTAGCGAAGCCGTAGGTTGTGTTACATACGATAGACGTTGTGATGCTGATGATGGTCGTTGTCAAAGAGGTGTTTGTTACAATGAAACTGAAACCGAAAAAGGTAGATGCGAATCTGTCGATTACGATCCAAAACCATTCATTTGTAAGACTGCTGCTGTTGTTTCAACTGCTGTAATTGCTGGTGTTACCGTTGCTGGTGCTGTTGCCTTAGCTGCCTTTATTTATGGTGGTAAGAAGGGTTATGATTACTGGAAAGAACACAATGGTGTTAAATTCTCTGCTAGTACCTCCAATCCATTATATGTAGAATCACCAAATGGTGGTGTTAATCCATTATATGCTAATGGTGCAGAATAAACCAATTAATTCATTCCACCTCCTCCCAATTATTTATTTATTTAAAAAAAAAAAAAATTTAATAGAATGCCGATAATATTTCTATTAAAATATATATATATTTTTTAAATATTCAGTATCTATAATTTACAATCGAAAAATAAAAATAAAAAAAATAAACTGTATTTATTTAAAAAATAAAATATTTATTTCCTTTTAAAATTATTATTTATAAATCTAAAATTAATTACAAAATATTTAAAATCCTTTTTGTATTGAATTTGTTAAAAAAATAAGCAAAAAAAAAAGTAAAAAAAGAATGAGGATTATAATTTAAAAAAATATAGATACAAAAGGGATTTTATTTAAGAAAAAAAAAGAAAGGATTTATAATAAAAATAATCAACACTTGCATTATTTTATTATTCCTTTTCTTTTTTTATTTTTTATATTATTATTTCAAACTCTTATCTTTTCCTAAATTAAAGCTTTGAGTTCTCTTTTTATTTGAAATTGTGCCACCAGTCCAACTTGAGCCTAGTTTAGCTCTACCACTGGCATAGCTACTATTATTATTATTATTATTATTATTATTATTTGTTGATGATTTGTCAATGTCAAAAGAAGAATTGGTTTCATTGTCACTATCACTTTCTTCACTATCATTTTCACTATTATTTGTTAAATCACTATTACTTGAACTTTTTGCTAAACTTTCATTTTTTAAATTAATTGAGGGTATTAAATCGTCTATTATTGAGGCTTTGTCTATATTTTCCATATTTAATGATTTTATTAAACTTAAAATTGAACTAAAAACTGTTAAATAGTAACCTCCTTCACCACATAAACGATCTGGGTCAGAGAGTTGCCATAAAAATTGATTTGCAAATTCTAAATCTTTGACATCTGAATTTACAACAACATATAAATATATCTATAGTAAGAAATTTCAGTTAGCTAAAGTTTTTTTTTATTTTTTTTATAATAATATATATTAAACTTACAGGTAAAAAGTCATCAGCAGATAAAAAGTAATCTTGATAAACTTTGTTTTTTGAATTTTTTTCATAATTTAAACTATTATAAATCGCTCTAGCAGAGGAAAGAATTGTATCTAATTTGTCATGAGGAATATCATTTCTGGAGAGCACACTTAATTCTAAAATTGCAGATTTCCAATTACTTACCGAAACAAACTCTTCTTTAATGCCAAAGAATAATTGATCTTTACCTTGTAGTTTAGAGATAGCATCTTGAAGCAATTGTTCATCTTTAGCAACTTGCTGAGAAATAATTGAACTTAATTGTTTATGGGCTCTAAAAATAATTGATTTTTCTAAACTTTTTTCGACGATAGTGGATAAAGAGATCTCTTCATTTTGGGGGGTGCCTGGTGTTTGAACGAAAAGTTTTGATAGTTGTGAATCTCTATCTGATAAAATATTTTGTTTAGTTGTATCTATGAATTGACGAACAATCATTATGGCAGTTGAAGGATTCTTTAAGAGACCATTTAAATTTGACATAAATTGTTGAATTGCTTTTCTTTCTGGAGATTGTGGACTTAGTATACTTTTATCGACCTCTGCTTGGATACGTTGCTCTTCAGTGTTACCCAAAAGCTGTGAAAGTTTTGTTGCTCTTTTACTCTTGAATTTGTCTAATGATGAGCTTGTATCTTCATTCGATTCAACATTTACATCATCTTCGATGATCACTGTAAAACCGCCTGCATTATCGGACGAGGAACCCATTACAATTGTTGATGGCGGTGATGCCGAGGGTGAGGCTGATGTGATAGATGATTGGTCATCTGAATAACAATTATTATTATTTAAACTATTTAAACTGCCACTTGTAAATGTGCTATTTTCAGATCCACCAATATCAGGTGAGAGTGGTAATGTGGCATTTAATTGATTGGCTAGTTGTTGTTGTTCGAAATTTATTAAAATCTTTTCACTTTGTCTATTTTTTGCTTTAAGTTTCTTTTGGTATTCTAATGCAATATCGTATGAGGTTTTCTTTTTATCGGTGGTTTGACGTAGCTTCAATCTGCAAGTAATCTCTTGAACAATTTCATAGGCAACAGAGGACCTATAGACATAAAGATGTGATGCATTATGATACTCTATAACAAAGGTCTCTGAATCACGGTTATAAATTGATTTGATATCTGAGTAGCTATAAAGACTAGATACGATTTCACCTCTAATATTTTCAATACCTCTGCTAGTTAAACGAAGAGTACGTTTTTGATGTTTACCCCATTGATTGATTTTGGTTACATTATAGCTTGAGTCTGGTATAGATTGAAATAAATATTCTGCTTCCTTAATCTCCCTTTCTCTTTCAGTATCGCATGATAGTGTGCAACTTGTGTCTTTGGAATATAATGATATTTTATCTATGCCTGATGAAATTCCATTGATGCTACTCTTTAATGAATTTGGTGTTTTGGGTGATCCATAGTTACTTGATGAGTTTGATTGTGGTTGAGTTAATGAAGGTAATAATGGTGTTGATAATGATAATGATGAAGATGATGATGATGAGGAAGATGACTTAGCTGATGATATTGATAATGTTGATAAGGATGATGATGAAACTGATGTTGAAAAATAACTTGAATTTTTATCTGTAAATGATATTGAGCTCATCTTTTTTTTTTTTTTTATATTCTATGTGGATTTTTTTCTAATAATTTATAATTTATAAATTTTTAAATACCTATATTTTTAGATTTCTAAATAATAATTGAAAATATTAGTACTCTATTATTTTTTATAAAAAATAAAGTATTTAAATAATTACATTATAATTTTTTTTTAAGCTTTTTTATTTTTTAAACCTCAATCATGGATTGGTTTAGTAGATAAAATATATACAATAAGTAATATTATTTATTAATTGTTTATTGGTTGCTGAGGTTGTAGCTGTTTATTTTATTTCTTTAAATTTAAAAAAAAACTAAAATATATTTTGCTATTATTAGTTACAAAAACTTGCTATAATTTCTATTGTTTATTTAAATGTGTAAATTTTGTATAATGCTAAATATATGTTGTTGTTGTTGTTTGCTATTTAAAGGTTATATTATTACTAAATAAATTTATATTTTGTGTGTTGATCTAAAAAAAAATTATTTTAAATTTATGTGTGTTGGAGTTGGTTTTTTTAGAAATTTAAAAAAAGTGATTAATAAGTGTATAAATGTGGGTTATTAATAAGGGTTGTATTTTATTTTAACTTTTTTTTTTTTAATATAGATATATTTTTGATGATAGTACCACACACAAACACAATTCAAAAAAATATAACAAAAAATTTAAAAAATAAAAAAACAAAAAAAAAAAAAATTTAAAAAAAAAAAATTAAAAATTAAAAAAAAAAAAATTTTAAAAACTAAATTTTATTTTTTATTTTTTTTTCTTTTTTTCTTTTTTTCTTTTCTTTTTTTTTTAATCTTTCGATTCCCATTTTAAAAAAAAAAAAGTTAAAAATATGTATAAAAAGGAATTATTTATTTTTTTTTTGATTACATTATTAATCATAAAATTTCAACAAATTTAAAAATAATTATAATAATAATGGATATTTTTTGGTTCACCCACAAATAACCGATATTTTTTTTGAAAACTTTTTTTAAAAATATTTCTTTAAATATCTAAATTCCCTTTTTTTAATAAAAATATTTTTATTTTATCAAAGTAAGAGTAACATGATAATTAATATAATTGAAGAGGAAGTGAAAATTGAAATTTTGGATGATGAGTTATTGTTGTGGTTATTGTTACTGTTATTATTTTCGTCTTTAGTTGATTTAATTTCTTGAACATTTACGATATCACAATTAGAACCACTGTAAGGTGGGTAACAATAAACTTTACCATTCCAACAATAAGAGTTTGGAATAATATTACTACAAGTTTGATTTGTTGGTAAAGTTGATGGAGTTATTGAAGGGGTTGTGGTTGGTAGTGGAGTGGCTGTTTCAACTGGACTGGTTGGTGGAATAGTTTCACATTTAAATTTATTTAAAATGTTGCATTTAACATCTAAACCAATACATGTAATTTCTTTATTGGTTTCACAAACTACTGAGGATTGATTAGTTCCGGTTTTACATGCGAAATGGTCATTAAAACATTTTGTTTTACCTCTGCCAGTGCAAACAATACTAAAATCATCTTCTGATTTATATGCATGATTTACAACATGTAATACATATGAAATTGGATTAAAAGTACAAATAATAGAAAAATCTTCTGATGAAGATGATTCCCATGAAGATGATGATTGTTCACTTGAATTTGGTTCCCATGATGATGATGATGATTCCCATGATGATGAGCTCCATGATGATGAAGATTCACTTGAGTTACCATTGCTATTTGATGAAGATTCACTTGAGATGCCACTACTTGATGAGGATTCACTAGAGCTCCATGATGATTCCCATGATGATGAGCTCCATGATGATGAGCTCCATGATGATGAGGATTCACTTGAGCTACCATTACTACTTGATGAGGATTCACTGTTGCCTCCTGATGATGAATTTTCACTATTGCTACCTAATGAGGATTCACTTGAACCTCCACTGTTGCTTGATGAAGACTCACTTGAGCTACCATTGTTGCTTGATGAATTTTCACTGTAGCTACCTGATGAGGATTCACTTGAACCTCCACTGTTGCTTGATGAAGACTCACTTGAGCTACCAGTATTTGGTTGAATAAAAATAATTGTACAGTTATTTATATAACATGATAATGAATATGTAATTTCTTCATTATCAAAGGAAACAAATGCTTGGCTGAAAAGAGTTGAGTTTTCAAATGCATCGAAGTATTTGATAAAAGTAAAAGGTACGCCTCTTTCAACGGAGGTATCATTGATTGAGATATTTAAAATTGCATCATCTAAATCGACAAACTGGGCTACATTTACTTTGGTAAATGAATTAAGTGAGTTAATTCTGACATTAAAGTTAGTATATGGTGATAAGACTAATGAACCATTGATGTCGATTTTAGAGGTTTTATCTATTTGAGAAAAATTACCATACACGTAAATATCTGAATTAACTTTGCCATTGCCATATATTGAGGCGGAATAACCAATTAAAACTGGGAGTGAGGATTGAATAGTTGGATAGACTGATATGGAACCTAAATCAAGACTACCAAAGGTGACGGTTAATGAGTGGGCATAGATCCAAATTGGGAAACTATAATAAAATGAGTCGGTTTCAATTGAGGCATACTGCATATCTACAACACCCAATTGAACAGATAAACTTTGAATTTTAACAATAGTGTTACTATAAAATATAGTATTGGTGTTACCCAATCCAGCACCCCCAGAATTACCAAGATATAAGACAGAGTGTTCAAAATTTAATGGAGTTCCTGGTGCGAAATAGTGATGTGATGGCTCATAGTAGAATTGAGAATTCTTGAAAATAAAACTTGAACCACCTCTAACATTTAAACTATTTTTAAATATATAGTTATCAATTGAAATAACTGAACCTTCATCAATATAAATAGTTGCTGGTGTATTAAATTGAGTTTTTTCTTCTGAAATATCAACATATGAACCACCATTAATTAAAATATTTGAGGATTGGGATGATATAGTAAAATTAACCTTTTTGTTGAGTTCTGAATTATTAATAATTAAATCACCCTAAAAAATAAATAAAAATTAATAAATTTTCATCATTTTAATCTATTTAATTGTAAATGGTATGCTTACATAGACATCAATGAATGTTGAGGCAGGGGTACCAAGTTCTCTGGGATAATTATGAGAAAATATTAAAACTGAATGTTGGTCAATTGATATATCTGAAACAAGATTAGAAGAACCAGTAATTTTAAGTGTTGAGTTTGAAATTTGAATATTACCATCACGAGCAACTAAAAGGGTATCAACAAATTCAACTTGTTTTGCATTTTCAAATGTTAAACTATTTTGGACAATAACATCAACAAAATTAAAGGTGATTTCTGATTCTGTTGTTGTAAATTTAACCGATGTGAAACTTAATGATGAGTCTGAGAATAAAATGCTTGAATTATAATAGTTTACAAGTTCGGATTGCGAGATATCAAAAACACTATTATCTTGAACAACTAATGAATTTGGCATTTCTAATGAGCTTGCACCCTCTAGAGAAACATATGAGTTACTAATACTGGCATCATCATTTGGGCCTGGTACTCTATTTAATGACCATGAGTTTGGATTTAAATAATTTCCATTGGTTCCATGTAAAAATTCAATATTTTCTGAATTTAAAAAATTTATATTTAAAACTAATAAAAGTAATAAAACAAGTTTCATTTTATTATTTATTATATTATTATTTTAATAAAAAAAAAATAAAAATTTTTTTTTATAAATAGAAAAAACTATAAAAAATTCTATTAAAAAATCGAATAAAAAAATTAAAATAATATAATGCTGATAACTTGGAAAAAAATACAACACTGCGCACAAAGGCAAATTTTTATAATTTTAATAAAAACTGCTTTGGATCGCGAGATTTTTAAAATAACTAAAAAATATATTTACTTTTTTATTTTCTGACCTATGGATACTATAGTTTAAAAAAATGGGCCGATTCAATCTTGATTACATTTTTTTTTGCCAGTAGTTTTTTATTAAAAAGATTTTGTATTTATAATCTTTGCATGCACCAAGTTATTTTCTACAAAATAATAAGTAAAATATTTTAATAAAACCAATTTTTAAAACTATTTTTTTTCTCAACTTTAAGTTTTATTGATATCATAAACACTCAACATTCCCAAAAATAAATAAAATATAAAAAATAAAACAATAAAAAAAAATTTGGATTTAAAAAAAAAATAAAAAAAAAAAAAATAAAATAAAATGTATGTTTTGGGTATTTGATTTATTATAAATAAAGTTGAATATTTATTATAATTGTTTATATGTTATATGATTGATTTAAAATTTGTTTTTTTTTTTTATTATTTTATTTTTTTAATTTTTATACAAAATTTTTCTTTTAAATGTAAAAAAAAGAAATTAGCCCTCTAAATTAAGTTTAAAAAAAAAAAAATTAATAAATTAGTAAATTGAAAAAAAAAAATTTATATGAATTGTTTAACACTTACCCCAGAATCTTGGTAATTCAGTAGCTGGGATCATTCTACGTTCTGGACCATTTTTATCAATAATACATAATCTAATAACACCACCAGATGAACCATCTCTAAACATAGCAAGAGCCAAAGCTAATTATAAAATATGAAAAATGGGATTAGTAATTAAATTTGGTTATGATCAATTAATTAATTTGAATATTTACAATTTTTAACAAATTCAACACATTCTTCTTTTGTCATTCCAGGTTTAAATTTAGAATCACAATAACCATAAATATAAGTTGAACCAGAACCACCAATGGCAAATGGTTGTTTTACCATTGAGCCACCAAGTGAAATATTATAAACACTACCACCTTGATGTTTGTCCCAACCGGCGACAATAATACCTGCCATTAAATTATTTTTATTGCTGTAGCAAAGTAATTGGAAAAGACTAGCTGCTGTTTTGACATCTGGATCATCACATAATTCTGAACTAAATTAACCCACAATATTTGTTTGTGTTTTTTTTTTGTTTTTTTGTTTTTTTTTTTTTGGTTAATGATTGATATTGTTAACATTATAGATTTCGTTTGTTTTATTTGGTTTATTCGACATAATACAAAGTTTTAATTTAAATTTTAAAATAAAAATAAAGTTAGTAATTTTGTGATTGTTTTGTTCAAATGGTTTAAAAATTAAACTTACGTATGCATTTCGAGATAATATCTAACGTAATCAGAAATTGCTTGAGTATCTGCAGCTGAACCTGATCTACAACAATAAATTTTTTCATGGATTGGTGTAATTTTATTAGTTACTCTATTTGCGATATAGGCCCCAGTAGTAGTTCTTGAATCAGCGCCCATTACAACCCCCCCATCAAACTCAACTGCCATAATTGAGGTTTAAAAAATAGAAAAAAAAAAATGTTAGAATGATAATTTTTTTTTTTTTAAACAATAAAATGTGATCATTTCTATTATTGTTATTATTAATTGCAACATACCCCCAAATTTACTGCATTATCTAACCATTCAGGTGTTTCCATTTTAAAAAAGTATATGTAATATATATATATATATAAATAAAAAAAAAATAAAGAAAAATGAAATATAAAATAAAAAAATTATAAATTAAAAAAAAAAAAAAATGGTATGTTCAAAAAATTAAAAAAAAAATTACAAAAAAATTAAAAAGAAAAAAAAAAAATTTTAAAAAAAAAAATAATTATTTTTTTTTTTTTTAATTTTAATTTTATAATTAAATTTTTTTTTTTTTAATTTAATTTAACAATCATTCACCCAAGTGTAGTTCAATTTTTAATTTTTTTTTTAAATTTTTTGTAAAACCTTATTTAAATCAATTATAAAATATTTTATATATTATATAGTTTGCAATAAATTGTTAATATGAGAAATAAAATATTTAATGATAAACCATATTTAATAATGGGACAAATAAATAACAATAATAATAATAAGAAAATTTTGAAATCATAATAATAACAATACAAATAAAAATCATAATTAAAAAAGTTTATAAATTAATAAAAAAAATTAAATTTAAAAAAAAAAAAATTAAAAAAAAAAAAAAAACGATTAAAAAAAAAGAAAAAAAAAACGAATATTTAATTTTTGTTTTCTTTCTTGCAAATTTATTTTTTTTTCTCTATTTATTTATAATAGAAAACAGCATAATAATGGATAAAAATATTGAAAATTTTTTAAAAGAACATAAAGATTTTACATATGATGAAACCAACAAAAGAATAAAATGCACAACAACAAATCATGAAATGCCCTTAAAGTTCGATCTTTTAAAACAACACTTGGAATCAAAAAGATATAAAACAGAAAAAAACAGAAATTTTGACTTTTCAATTTATGAAGAAAAACAAATTATTCAACACAAAAAAGCGTATGTAATAACAAATTATCAATTTATTAATAATTTATTAATAATTAATTTATAAATACTAATTTTCTTTTTTTTATAATAATAATATTTAGAAACAAATTGTATTGTATTTTAACCTCAACAGAATTAAACAAAGATAAAGAAGAAATTGAAAATCACATTAATGGTAGAAAATATAGATTGGCTGTAGAAAAGAAAACCATATCAAAAAGTAGAAAGAAGAAACAAATGTCAGATTCTTATGAAGGTGAAGAGGATGATATGGAAAAAGAGGAAGAAGAGGAAGAAGAAGAAGAAGAGGAAGAAGAAGGTGATGATGATGACAGCGAATTTGAATTCTTTGACTATGATAAAGAGGGTGAAAGAATCGGTGAAAATGGTGAAATTGTTGAAAAAGAAGATGATGAGGATAGTGACGAAGATGATGAGGATGGTGAAGATGGTGAGGATGAAATTGAAAGTGACGAAGATGATTTTGAAGAGGTTTTAGAAAGTGAAGAAGAGGAAAACTTTAATCTTATGGATGATGATTTTGAAGGTTATGACTATGAAGCTTTTGAAAAAGAAGAACAAGAAAAAAAAGAGAAAGAACAAAACCAAAGTAAAAAAGCATCACAACCACAAAAACCACAACAACAAAAACCACAACAACAAAAACCACAACAACAACAAAAACCACAACAACAAAAGCCACAACAACAACAACAAAAGCCACAACAACCACAACAAAAGCCATCACAAAATCAAAAATCAAACCAAAATAAAGAAAACAATGATAACAAAAAGAGAAAGTTTGAAAATACAAATAATCAAAATAAGAAATTTAAAACTAAATAAAAAATGTACATAAAATTATAACAACAGTCGTAATAAAATATATTTTAATAAAATGGTTGTTTTTTTAGATTCAATTTTTTTTTTTTTTAAAAGTGGTAGTTTTACCTTTTTCATTCCACTGATTATTTCCTTTGATCGTCTATAGAATGAATATTAATTGTGTTTGTTGAAGATACCATAGTGGTCAATTCTTTAATTTAACTGTTGGTAAACCTGAGTATCCAAGTTTTAATATCAATCTATAGCTTATTTTTTTTAAAAATTTAATTTTTAATCACTTATTAATAGGTAATGGTTTCATTCTATTCACCAATAATTTTCACTTATTATTTTCTAATAGTAATTAAAAAAATTTAATTGTTTTTTTTTTTTGAAAAAAAGACAATTAAATTTAAAATTGTTTTTTAGAAACTTTATAAATTTAAAAAACTTTATTTCTATTTTTTTTTTTTTTTTTTTTTTTTTAATTTTTATTTTTTAAACAGTTCTTTATATTATCAAAATGAAAAAATGAATATCTATATACTTTATAAGAAAATAAAAAATAAAAAATAAAAAAATAAAAAAATAATTATTTAAAAAAATAAATAAATTTTTAGATCCTAAATAAAATTAATTAATAAATAAAACATTAATTTTAAAATTTTATATAATTAAAACTATAGTCATACATATAATTAAAAAGAAAAATTTATACAGCAAAAAACTAAAAAAATAAAAATGCCTTATAAAACTAATAAAGATTTACCAGAAAATGTAAAAAACCATTTACCAAAGCATGCTCAGGATATATTTAGAGAGGCATTCAATCATGCTCATGAAGAATATAGCGATCCATCAAAAAGGAGAGATCCGGATGAAGAACTTGATACAGTATGTTTTAAAGTGGCATGGGCAGCGGTACATAATAAGTAATATCCCTTTAGATTTATAAACTGTGTAGTCTATGAAACTCTACTAACCCTAATTTTTAATATTATTAAATTAGATATGAAAAAGGTGAAGATAAAGATTGGCATAGATTCTAAAATAAATAAGAAAATTCTTTTTTTTTTTTTTTTTTTTAAATAAATATATATGAAGTACATCTACAATATTACAATTATCTTTTGTTATGTTGTAGCTTTAATTTTTATTTATAAATATTATTTATAATTTATTTGTTATTTACTATTTATTTATTATGCTAAATATCTATATTATATAATACATATAACTTTTATATTGGTGTTTAATTATGGATACTAAAATATTTAATCCTATACTTATTATTACTATTATCATTTATTATTATTTATTACTTTTTTATATTAATTTCAAACCTTGAATAATATCTGGATTCTTTAAAGTACCTCTTTTGTATTCTTCCAAAGATATAAAACCATCAGCATTTTCATCCATTGTATCGAAAAACTGGTCTATTAAATCTTGAAGATCAAACTTTTTTCCTGAACATGTCACAAAAGTTCCAACTAATTTATACATTGATTCTAAAATTTTTTCCATTTCCATTTTTGTTATATATCCACTACCGTCTAAATCATAAAGTGAAAATGCAACTATATAATATATTTGTATTATAGTTTTGATTAGTATTTATCTATAAAATAATTTCTATATGCATATTATAATATACTATTACTTACACTCAATTTTTTCCTCAGGTGTCCCTCTTGTTAATGAGGATAAACCACAAACAAACTCTTGAAAATTAATTGTTCCATCTTTATTTTTATCAAATACATTAAACAATAAGTCCTGTAAAAATGTATCACCTACACCCATTTGCGACATTATCTCTTTAAACTCTGATCTATTTATTATTCCTGATGGAGAGTCTTTTCTAAACTGTTTATATAATGTTTTTAACTCCCTAGAGTCAACTAATTATCGATGTTAATATTATTTTAAAGCTTTACTAAATCTATCTATAAATAAAAACCTACAATGTGTTGATGTTTGAAGTAATTCGACCTCCTCCTTTTTTAAACTGCCCAATTGATTACCCATTTTATTCTTTAAATATTTTAAAAACATTTTTTATTATAGTTTTTTTAATAAAAAAAAAAAGTTTTTTAAATTAATACTTTTGTTTATGATGTTGAGTAATTAATAAATTAAAAAAATAAATGAAAAAAAAAAAATTAATAAAATTTAAGAGAAAAAAATAAAAAAAAAAACTAGGGTGAGACATGTGTTTTTAAAAATTTTAAAAGGGGGTTCGTTGTTGTTATTGTTGTGATTCTTTTTTTGTGTGTTTTTTGATTTGCAGATTTAATAACAATAATGTACTGGGTGTGTGAGTTATAATAAATAATTATTATAAAATGAAAATGTGATTTGTATAACAACAATATGTAATATTCCAAATTAATCAAATTAAACATTATTTTACAAAATATGATTGCTATACAAAAACAAATAAAGAAACGACTATATTTTGTTGATAATAATGGTGTTGGTGGTGTATATCTGTATATATTTTTACCTTTATACAAATCTCAATTGAAAAATTATTTGTTTAAAAATTATAAAAAAAAAAATGAAAAAAATAAAAAAAAAATAAAAAAATTTTTATATTGTTTTTTTTTTAATTATATTTTTTTTAATTAAAAATATTATTTATTAAAACGGAACAAAACTAATTTTATTTCTATTTTTAGAAATTAACAGATTTTTTTTTTTTTTTTTTTTTTTTTTTCTTTAATTTATTTAAAATTAAAACTATTTGTTTTTTTAAAAAAAAAAAAGTGGAGGACCAGGTATAGTTTTTTTTAAAATTTTATTATTTTTTTAACATTTAACCCTTCTGAAAAATTTTTTAAAATGTTTTTTGATTGTTTAAAAAGGGTTTAAAAAAAAAAAAAATTTCCCCCCCATTAATTTTATTTGTTCCACACACATGTCAATGGGTATCAATATGAAGGAAAACTAAATTTAAATTTAAATTTAGTACTAGAGATTTTGAGTTGTTCATAGAAATGGTTCAAATAGTTGAAATTTCATGATTTGAACCATTTCTGAAGCTGTTGTAATATAGAGTGGGGATATAGCCTGCTTTGTGATGTGTTTCTATGAAAACAAGGTGTATTAAAAGGCAAGTTCCAAATAAACAGGAAACCATCATCATATTTATGGCATTTTTTATCATCAGCCAACAATTTACTTATTACATAAACATATCCACATTGAAAGTGGAATTTAGTTGCTGTTTGTCCTCAAACTCTTCAACACAGTTTTTTTAACTTTATAATCCCTTTTTATATATTCAAGGGCGTGCATCTAGTTCCTGTATCATTTTCCTCTAGCTTGAGTATCATCTCCTGTATTAAATCCATCACAAAAACCTTTTTTCTTGTGTTTAGTTTAGTTTTACAAACCTGTGAATATCAGACATTCTAATAATTCTATATAAAAATAAAATAAATTGAAATTAAAATGGTAATTTCTAAAACTTTTTTTAATTTTTATTTTCTTTTTTATTTTCTTTTTTATTTTCTTTTTTATTTTCTTTGGTGTATTTATATAACAATACTAATAATAAAAATAAAAATAATAATTTAAATTAATTATTATTTCATTGTTGGTCACAACACCAATAAAACAAAAAAAAACAAATAGATTATTATTATTATTTAATTATACGATACATTAAATATTATTATAAAAATTTGTAATAAAACGAAACGAAAAAAAATAAATAAAAAAAATATTATAATGAATAATAAATAATAATAATTATTCAATCTCTATGTATATATAATTTTTACCCCGCATGTGTTTAAAAAAAATTAATTTTTTATATAAAAAAAAAAAAAAAAAAAAAAAAAAAAACCTATTAAATTGATATAGATCACAATTTTACACTCTTAAATAGGTCTGAAAATTGGAAAAATAATGATAAAATGAAAATTAAAATTAAAATAATATTAAATTTAATATTAAATATTAATATTAATATTAAAATTAATGATAATTGTATAAACAATAAAAAAAATTAGGATATGGATTATATTTTTTTTTTTTTCATTTTATTTTATCTATTTTTTAAAAAAATATTGCAAAAAAAAAACCTATAAGGTAGAGTCTAAAATCACATTTATACAAACCCTAAAAGACACTTCCCGAAACAAATAAAAAAATAAAATTTTAAAAAAAAAAATAAAAAAATAAAAAAATAAAAATCAAATTAAAAAAAATAAAAAAGATTTTAGTTTGTGTGTTGTCTAAAACCATTGTTTTGTGTAAATGATTCATTCTCATAACCGACACACATCACCACTCTCTACACTTTTTTCAAAAACAACTAAAAATAAAATTAAAAACAATAATTTGATATGTTTAGAAACTACATTTATGTTTATTATTATTATTTAAAATAAATTTATCAAAGATTATTATTTGATATCTTTATTAATTACTAATTTATATATATAATCAAACTATTTAATTTTTTTTTTTTTTTATTTTTATTTAAATACTTTTAAATTTTCCATTTTATTTTTTATTTTTTTGCACATATCATTTTTTTTTTTTATTCCAAATAAATATCTATTTTTTAAATTTTAAAAATAAATATATCATAAAAAAAAAAAAAAAAAAAAAAAAAAGAAATAGAAAGAGACCCACAACCATTTCTGATATCAGTTACCCTGGTTGTGAAAGAATTTCGAAAAACTTTTTTAATACTGCACAAACCAATAGTAACTACTTTCAATACAATTTTTTTTTTTCGTTTTTTGTATTTTATTTTTTTTTTTTTAAATTTTTTTTTTTAAGTTTTTTTTTTATTTTTTTTTTTATTTTTTTTTTTTTACTATTTTCTATTTCTTTCAATTTGCTCTATTTTTTTTATTTTTTGTATTAGTGTAATATTTTTATTTTATTTATTTCTATTTTTTTTTTTTTATTTTTTTTTTATTTTACGATCCTTATCCTGGGTAATTTAAAAAAAAATTAATTATTTTTAAAAAAAAAAAATAAATAAATATTAAAAAATCATAAAAATAAAAACACAACCCTAAAAAAAAAGTAAACAATAAACAAAAAAAGATAATAGATAATATATGTGTAAAATATAGAATATTTTCTTTTTTTTTTTTAGTTAGAAAAAAATACAACAAATTATAAACAACAACAACTCAACGAAAGAAAATAATAAAAATAGAATTAATCATCAACATTCATTTATAGTTTTTAAAATTTATTTATATAATAGTAAATAAATTAATCAACAACAATAATAAAAAATGGGCGGAAATTCAGAAAAAAAAAGATTATTAGGTAGCGATACAAATATTACAGTTAATGATGACGATGGCGCCGTTTCAAAAGCACAACCATACGTTAAACCAGAAAAAGATGGTGTATTCACAGGTATACTCCGTTTCCTCGGATTAAGAGAAAAGAAGAAACCAAAGAAAGATGCCAATAAAGAAAAAGAATTTGCTGATAAGTTTAGAGATTTATCAGTATTGGATAAACAATCAATGTTGGATAGAATTGGAACACCAATGCAAGGTCTTTCAGAGGAAGAGGTTGATAGACGTACTAAACTCTACGGTAGAAATGTTATTACACAAGTTAAAGCCTCACCATGGTATGCAACATTGTTCTTTGCATTCACACATCCATTCAATATTGTTTTAACTGCTATTGCCGTTGTTTCCATCTGTACTGACGATTATGCTACATTCTCTGTAGTTATGTTTATGGTTATTTTCTCTGCATTATTATGTTTCCACGAAGAGCGTAAATCAAGTAAGGCTTTTGCTCATTTAAAATCATTGGTACGTACTACAGTAACTGTTTTACGTACTAGAAATGGTATTTCACAAGAAATGAAAATCGATATGGATGATATTGTCCCAGGTGATATTGTTCCATTAAAAGCAGGTGATGTATTCCCAGGTGATGTTCGTATTTTAGAATCCAACAGTTTATTCGTTTCACAATCTTCATTAACTGGTGAGTTTTTACCAGTTGAAAAAGGTCCAAACGCATCCGAAGAACCAACTTCAATTTTCGATACTCCAAATATTTGTTTAATGTCTACAAACATTGTATCTGGTAGTGGTATTGGTATTGTTTTCGACACTGGTTCAAGAACTTATATTTCTTCAATCTCTGAAATTCTCACATCAACTCAAACTACAAATGCTTTCGATATTGGTGTTAGAAAGGTCGCTTATTTACTTATGGGTTTTGGTGTTGTTTTAGTACCAATCGTTATTATTATCAATGGTATTTCAACTAGAGATTGGAAAGATTCTGCATTGTTTGGTTTATCTGTCGCTGTAGGTTTAACCCCAGAAATGTTACCAATGATTTTAAATACCAATTTAGCAAAAGGTGCATCAGATATGTCAAAAAAGAAAACAATTGTAAAACAACTTCATTCAATTCAAAATATGGGTGCTATGTATGTATTTTATTTGGTTTTTTTTTGGTTTAAACCATTTTATTATTAAAATTATATATATTAATTTTTATTTTTTTTATAGGGATGTATTATGTTCAGATAAAACTGGTACTTTAACAGAAGATAATGTAAAATTACAACACTATATCGATCAAGATCAAAATGAATCAGACAATGTCCTTAGTTTTTCATTTTTAAATTCAAATTTCCAAAGAGGTTTAAAGAATGTTTTAGATGTTTCAATTATTTCATATTATGGTTTAAAGAGAGGTCTTATCACTGAAGAAGAAGCTGAAAAACTTTTACTTCATGGTCATGGTAATGGTCCAACTGATGAAGATAATCACACACCAAGCGGTCAAAAGAAACCAGATCCATTTGCAGATTCATATTCATTAAATGACGAGTTCCCATTCGATTTCACTCGTCGTCGTGTCTCTGTCATTTTAAATTGTGCTAATGAACCATCAACTAAATTACTTGTTTGTAAAGGTGCCGTTGAAGAAGTTTTATATTGTTGTTCCTATGTTGCCACTCCAAATGGTGAAGCCGAACCACTCACTGAACAACTCAAAAAGAAATTACTTGGTGTTATGAACGATCTCAATGTTGACGGTCTTCGTGTTTTATCTGTTGCCACCAAAAAGATTGAAAATTTACCATCAGACTATAAATTTGATGTTAAAGTAGATGAATTCGGTTTAACTTTCCATGGTTTCTTAGCTTTTATTGATCCACCAAAATCAGATTGCGCTGGTGCCATTCGTCAATTAAGAGAAAACAACGTTGCAGTTAAAGTTTTAACTGGTGATAATTTAGCAGTAGCCAGAAAGATTTGCAGAGATGTCGGTATTGATGTATCTCGTGTTATCTCTGGTCCAGAATTAGAAGGTGTCGATGATGAAGATTTCGATCAAATCATTGAAGAATGTTCTTTATTCGCTAAGCTTACTCCAATCCAAAAATATAATGTCGTTAAAGCCTTAAAGAGACTCGGTCATACTGTTGGTTTCTTGGGTGATGGTATCAATGATGCTCTTGCTCTTCGTGAAGCTGATGTTGGTATTTCTGTAGATACTGCCACCAATATTGCTAAAGATGCCTCCGATATTATTTTACTTGAAAAATCATTAAACGTTATTAACACTGCCGTTATTACTGGTCGTATTACTCACGCAAACACCATCAAGTACATTAAAATGGCTGCTTCATCCAATTTCGGTAACGTATTTTCAATGTTAATTGCTTCAGCTTGGCTCCCATTCATCCCATTACAACCAATTCAAATGCTCACCCAAAATCTTTTATACGATTTCTCACAAGTTGCTATTCCATGGGATAATGTCGATGAAGAATACCTTAAGGTTCCACATCCATGGAGTGTTAAAAGTTTATTCAAATTTATGGTTTTCCTTGGTCCATTATCATCCATTTTTGATGTTGTCATTTTCTCTTACATGTGGTGGAAATTAGGTTGGGATAGTGAAACTACTGCCCAATTATTCCAAACTGGTTGGTATGTTGAAGGTCTTATCACTCAAGTATTCATTGTACATATGATTCGTACTACTAAGATTCCATTCATCCAACGTTGGGGTTCACTTCAACTTATCTTAAATACTCTTTGGGTTGCTGGTGTTTGTGTTGCTATTCCATATATTCCATACGTCAATACTTTCTTAAAAATGAAAACTTTACCAGCAATGTATTATCCAGGTTTAGCTGCATGTTTCTTTGGTTACTTCTTCTTAACCCAAATTGTAAAGAAACTCTACATGAAATTCTTTGGTGAATGGTTATAAATTATATTTTATAAAATTCAAATATATAAAAAAAAATCATAAAAAAAAAAAAAAACCAAAAAAAAAAAAATTACAAAATCAAAAAAAGACAATTATCATCATTATCAACAAATATATAATCATTTATATATATACATCATCATTATAACATTACAAAAAAAAAAAATCATTATCAAAATTTTATAATCATTTTTTATTAAATATTTATTTATAATCATCATCCCCCAAATCACCTTCAATCACCGCACCTCCTCATCCATTTACTTTTTTTTTTATTCATATAAAAATTCAATGTTAATAATTTAATTAATTTATTAATTTTATCTGTTTGTGGGTGGGAGTGTGATTATTTCCAATTCACAAAATAATATATTCACAACTACCTCCCCTTTGGAATATTTATTTTTTTTGAAATATTGACATTACTAGTTGTAATCCAGAAATTAACAAAAATAAATAAAAATAAAAAAAAAAAATAATATAAAATTACATTATATTATATTTTAAAAAATTAAAAAAAAAAAAAAAAAAGAAATTTAGATTTAATAATATTTTTTTCTTTCAATTTTATATTGATAAAAAATTTTTATTTAAATTACACTTTATTTAGTTATTTAATAAATCTATTTTAAAATTAATATTATTATTGTTTGCTAATGTATATTTATTAATTTCATTAAACATTGAGTTTAATTTTGCTTTGAGGTCTTTTTGGAAATCCAATTCATATGGTCTATTACCACCATTTGAATAATACAAGCAACAGTTTTGAATTTTTAAATATTTCAATGGTTTAATTTTTGATGGTTGTTGCTGTTGTTTTTTATCTTTTTCTTCTTTATATGGTAAACCTTGTTGTTTTAAGATAATCTGTTTGAATATTTTATTTATATAATGATCAACATTAGTATCCATTTTGCAACCACATGCTTCGATATCATCCTCTTTAAATCCATGTAGCTTTTTTATATGTTGACGACCTAAATTAAATGCAAAATGATAGTAACATATTTTTATTGATAACCTTTCTAAGATTGGGAATGACTTTAGTATCTTTGAAACTTCTTTTAAATTTAATTGGTTTGTGGTTTTGATCGATTTCCATCTATTGAATCGGCTGTTGTTAATAAAAGGTGACGTGTTGATTTCGCCATAGTATTCCATTTTGATTGTACCATTTCCACTATTATTACATGCATTATTATTCCATTTATAGATATCAAATTCATTGGAAATAATTCTAATCTTTTTTAAATTTTGATAGTTTTGATTTTTATCCAGAATTTGATTAAATAAAAATATTGGAGTGTATGCTTTTTTGATAAGCGATGAATAATTCTCTTTAAAAATTATTAATTCGATATTTTCCTTTTTTATTATTGAATAGGGTTGATTTGATTTAAAATTATCATTTAGTGTACTTAAATTCTGATATTCAACCAAGGCAATTACATTTATATTTTTCTGTATTGTATAAAACCATTCTTTGGATACCCTGGAAAGATTAAATAGTTCTTGAAAAAAATTGAAAAAATATTTAATGTTTGATTTGTTTTTAATATAGTATAAAAAGTCTTTTAAAAACAATTTAATTATATTTTTTTGTAGATATATTGGCAAAGTTTTAATAAAGGTATTAACATTTTTATTAGTATTATTATTATTTTTTTTAAAATTTAAACTATTATTTTTATTATTATAATTTATTGTTTTCATTTTTTATTTTTATTTTTTATTTTTGGTTATTATAATAGAGTTATTTTTTATGAATAATGAAAAAGAAAAAAAAAATATTTAGTTTTCTTTTTTTTTTTTTTCTTTTTTTTTTTTTATTTTTTATTTTTTATTTATTTTTTATTTTTTTTAATTTTGTTTATTTATTTATTTAAAAAGATAAAAAGTAATTTCCAAAAAAGCCAGAAAATCTGTTATTTTTTTTTTATTTTTTTATTTTTATTTTATTATTTTTATTATTTATTTTTATTTTTTATTTTTTTCATTTCATAATTAACATCTAAATCTTGGTTTTTTTTTTTTAATCATTGCTTTTTTTGATAATAATTGTAATAATAAACAACTATTTAAACAACTAATAAAAATAACTATATATGTTTTTTTTTTTGGGAATGTGTGTGAATATGTGTGAATATGTGTTTAATTATTTGTTAAATTAATTATTTTTTTTTATTATTTTTTTATTATTTTTTATTTTTTAAAAATGAAAAATTTTAAAATTTTTTAATTTTAAAAATAATTTTTGCTGTTTATGAGATTTTCTTATGTGGCAATTATGATTGTAACAACTAATCAATGCAAATTTACTATTGTGTGGAATAATACCTACCTAAGAAAAATAATTATTAAATACCTAAGACTTTATCATTTATTTTCATACATTAGGTATTTTCCATCGATTAATTCAATTTTAAAATTCAAGTTTAAAGAATATTTAAAAGAAATAGAAATAGACGGTAGAAAAGGTCAAGATGGTTATCATGAAATTTTATTTAGCGACGATGAAGAAGAAGAGGATGATGAAGAGGAACAGTTAAATAATATCAATTACGAAAAATTAAATTACAGATTAAGTTTATTACCAGCAAATATAGATACCATTAAGTTTTTATCAGAGTTACCACCGTCATCATTAAGCAACATAAATATACCGAAATCAGTTACAGTGGTCCAGTTATTCTATAGCATTAGGAGTCCCAGCGGTTTGGAAATGTTTAAATCAAATCAATCATCAATCTCAAAATTACATCTATATAGATTAGATTCAAGTTTGAAAATAAATTATAATATTTTATCAGATTCGATCACAGAGTTAACATTGTTCGAGTATCACCATGAAATTAAAAAAGACACTCTTCCAAAAGGTTTAACAAAGCTTAATGTATCATTTGATGGGCTCCACCAAAAGAAATCAATGTTTGAAAAAGGCTCCTTACCTGGTAGTTTAACTCATTTAACCGTTCAGTGCTTTTCTCAACATTTTAATTTCAAATCTGGTATATTACCAAATAAGTTATTATATCTAAAGATAGCATCTTCGGTTTATCAAGAGATACCAAAAGACTACAGGTTCCCAGATTCTCTGATCCATCTAGAGATTAAATGTAAAGATTTAAAAACAAAACTCCCAATAAATTTAACGTCTCTCCACATTCAAACATCAAAAGAAATTAAAGATTATTCGTTGCCTTCTCTTCTAAAGTATCTGTATATATCAACTTGCCAACCTCTTTCATCAAGATTGTTACCAAAATACCTGCTATCTTTAGAAACAGATGCCGATTCAATTGGTGTTTCAGTGCTCCCAGAAACATTACAAAGATTAATACTTCGTACTGATGGATCTGGTCTATTAAATTTCAATATAAAGTTATTGCCAAAAATGATGCCTTCAAGCTTAACCTATTTAAATTTCGATTTCGACGGATATGGTTCATTTAATAATGGAGGGTTTCCCATGATAGAAGAAAATATATTCCCATCGACATTGACCTACCTTAATTTGGGAAATGGCTTTAACCAGCCTATTGGCGTCAACACATTGCCTAATTCTGGTAACTTAAAAACTTTAATATTAGGTATTAGCTTTTCTCAAGAAATTGTTTCAAATTCAATACCACCCAGCGTTTTATATTTTCATATCAAGAATTCATCATACCAGCATTTTATTAAATTAAACAACCCCTATACTGTTATAAAAATTTGCGACAGTAATAATAATTACTTCAGACTTTATAAACCAAACCCTCAGGATCTACGTGTGCTAAGACTATCTTCAAATTTTAATGAACCAATTCATTCTTTAGAGCTACGAAATAAAACCAATTTAGAGTATCTTCAATTAAATAAATTATTTAACCACGATCTATTACTCGAAGATTTACCAATCAACAACTCAATCAAGGTATTAATATTGGGAAATAGTTTCAATAAATTAATTCATTTAGAATATTTTCAAAATCTAGAGACCTTAATTATCAAAAATAGTAACCCAAAAATCATAGCATCAATATTTTATAATAATGACAATAAAAATGATCCAATTTATAATTTTTATAATTTAAAGGTAATAGAGGTACGAGCGGGCAATAACAGGTTTCTAGATGGACTCGAAGAGGTTTTTTATCAATTTGTAAGATTATCAAAAGAAAAAGAAAAAAAATCAAAAAATATGTATTAATAGTAATACTAAAGCATAATGTATTTTTCTTTATTTTATAATAAATAAAAATTGATTAAAACAACAAGTGTATTATATCTGTGTATGGTACCAAGATATAATACTCCCACCTTAAAATAATCTTTTTTTTTTTAAATATTAAGATGATTTTTATTATTTGTGTTTTTGTATGTCTTTATAATCTAATGATTTAGCAATTAAATTTGGGTCAATTTCTTTATTGAATAATTTAGTAAAGCTGTTGATATTTTGTAATGGGTATGAGAGACCGTCTTATACTCGTTATCATTATGTAAAACAAAAGTAAACATCCTCAAAGAATAACATTTTACTCTTAAATAACTATAGTTTTTTTTTTTTTTTAAAAGTTAAGATAATTATAAGCAAATGCTTTAAATTAATCAGTAAATAAAGAAATCAATTAATGAGCTCCAAAAGGGCAAATTATCCAATGGGTCAAGGAGGTTGGAATTTTTGGGTTTTCATCTTCCAGGAGATTTATTTGTGTATGTGAAAAAAAAAAAATATTCAGAGCGGGAATCGAACCCACGACCTAATCCGTGTTAAGGATTCGTGATAACCAACTACACCATCCGAACATTATACAAATTATATTTTTTACACACCTTAGGATCTTTACTGGTAACATTCGAGTTAACATATGAAAGCGATTCAAGTTAATCTGGGCAGCAGCATGGGAAAGAGAAGTCCAAAATATTAAAAGAATATATAGAAACCTTAACACCAAGATCCATCTAGTTAGCGACATCACACAATGAAGATAGTCAACAGGCTAGAGAAGTTTAACCAAGATATGGATTTCAGATATATTTAGAGTGAAAATACCGCTACACCTGGAAAACTACAGAACTTTATCGATGAATTACAAATAAAAATTATTCAACAAAAATTATTCAACAAAATTTATTCAACAAAAATTAAATAATCAAAATTAAATTACTAAAATTTTTTTCTAAAAATAAATTAATAAAAGTCGTGTTAACCTTTGCACCATTCTTATTGAAGGGGTAAGTCAAAAATTCGTGGTTAGCAATTAATACAAAAAAGAATCTTTACAGGGAAAATACAGATACATCCTGCAAGCTACAGCTTTATCAATGAATTACAAATAAAATTAAATAACAAAAATTAAATAATCATTAAAAAATTATGAAAAAAAATTTTATTAGTAATTTTTATTTTAAAATTAATAAATTAATAAAATAAAAATTACTAAAAATAAATTAATAAAAGTAGTGTTAACCTTTGCTTTATTCTAATGAAGGGGTAAGTCAAAATTTCGTGGTTAACAATTAATATAAAAAAGCACTTGTCAGGATTACAAAAATCGGTTCAAGAAATATAAAAAGAGGCCCTGTACAGTTGTACCACCCTTTGTATGGGAAGAACTCCTATTTCTAGCAAACCATTACTACCAGATTAATCAAATTAACCAAATTTCAAAAGCAGGAATCAAAAGAACTCAAAAGAGCAAAATACCTCACAAACAACACAAACAACACAAACAACACAAACAAATCACATTAGATGCACATATGAATAATATTTTTATTATTTTGTTGTTATTAGTCTTGTTGGGATGTAGTTGCAGTTGTTTTTTTTTGTTTTTGTTGCTGCATTTGAATAAAACTTAGGATTCTTTTTTGTTTAATATTAATTAATTTAGAGCCAATATTTAAAGTTTCAAGTGATGGTGGTAAACAACTATATGTTAAAACCTTGTTCCTATTCCCATTTGGTAATGAGTTGGATGGGACTAAATTTTTAAATCTAGGACCGAATGTGAGTGTTGTGAGACTATTTGGTAATGTTCCGGGTGGAATTACTTGGTCAAAATCATGACCGAATGTGAGTGTTGTGAGACTATTTGGTAATGTTCCTGGTAGAACTACTTGGTTAAAGTCATTACCAAGCGTGAATGTTGTGAGACTATTTGGTAATGTGCAGGGATGAACTACTTGGTTAAAATGATGACCGAATGTGAGAGTTGTAAGACTATTTGGTAATGTGTCGGGTGGAACTATTTGGTTAAAACTATGACCGAATGTGAGTGTTGTGAGACCATTTGGTAATAAGCCGGGTGGAACTTTTTGGTTAAAGTCATTACCGAATGTGAGAGTTGTAAGACTATTTGGTAATGTGTAGGGTTGAATTACTTGGTTAAAATTATCACCGAATGTGAGTGTAGTAAGATTATCTGGTAATGAGCCGGGTGGAACTACTTGGTCAAAATAATAATTGAGTGTGAGTGTTGTGAGACTATTTGGTAATGTGCCGGGTTTAACTACTTGGCTAAAACTACTGCCGAATGTGAGTGTTGTGAGATTATCTGGTAATGATCCAGATGGAAATACTTGATTAAAACCATCACCAAATGTGATTGTTGTTAGTTTTTTTGGTAATAATCCGGGTGGCACTACTCTATTAAAACTTGAGCCGAATGTGAGTATTGTAAGACTATTTGGTAATGTACCGGGTATAACTACTTGGTCAAAACAATAACCAAATGTGAGGGTTTTGAGATTATTTGGTAATAAGCCGGGTGGAACTTTTTGGTTAAATTTTTTACCTAATGTGAGTGTTGTGAGACTATTTGGTAATGTTCTGGGTGGAACCACTTGGTTAAAATTACCGCCGAATGTGATTGTTGTGAGATTATTCGGTAATGTTCCGGGTGAAACTACTTGATTAAAGTTATAATCGAATATGATTGTTGTGAGACTATTTGGTAATGTTCCGGGTTTAATAACTTGGTTAAATTCTAAACCAAAAGTGAGTGTAGTGAGACTATTTGGTAATGTTCCGGGTGTTACTATTTGATTAAATTTTGTTCCAAATTTGAGTGTCGTGAGACCATTTGGTAATGTTCTGGGTGATAGTACTTGATTAAATGTATAACCGAACGTGAGAGTTGTAAGACTATTTGGTAATGAGTAGGGTTGAATTACTTGGTTAAAATTATCACCGAATGTGAGTGTAGTAATTGTATTTGGAAAAGTTGTTGGAGATGGTAATATAGATAAATTGTACAAATGAAAATCTGTCAAAAATGGTGGAAATTCATTTTTATCTGGTAGATCGCCACTCCACTCAAGTTTTGATATATATGATTTATCTTTAAACTGGTCATATTGGGATCGATTATAAAAATATACAATACTATTTGAAATAAACAATAAAATATGCTTATAAATTTTATGTCTTATAAATATATTATTCCATACTTCATAAAATAATCTACAATATGTTAAAAAGAGAGAAACCAATTAATATGCTTTTAATCTATTATTTATTTTATTTTATTGTACTTACTCATCACTCTTATTACCATTTTTTTTAAAATCTTCATTTACTCGAAAATAAATAAGAGATGATAGTAGCTCATTGTTTTTTTTATCCATTATTTTTTAAATTAAAAAAATAAATAATAAAAAAAAAAAATATCACATATCAAATTTTTTATAAAATAATTTTCCTAAAAAATTTTAAAAAAATTTATTATCATTTTTTTTTTTAATTTTTATATATAGTTAATATTAATAAAAACCTCAACCAATACAAAAGGTTGAATTATTGGTTTTTTTTTTTATCTTTCATTTTTTTTATTTTTTTTTCATTCTGAATAATATTAATAATAAAAACCTTGTATATTTTCAATTTTATTTTATTTTTTTATATATTTAATTATTAAAAATTTATATTTTCAATTGTTCAAACCTAATGGGACCCCATACCACAGTTGAGCATTATGCACTCCATTAGTTTTGAAGTAGGAGTTCAAATTAATTGTATACATTAAGATATTTCCCCTGCCAAGTTGATCAGCTTAATTTGAACAACTAAGGCACTTTATTATAAAACTTTGACGAAAATTAAAAAGAACTGGCATTTTAAAAAATTTAATAGCAACAATATTCAAACAAATATGGTACACAAGAAACACTTAAATTCATGAAAATTACCTAATGTATGGTAGAGTAATCAGTAGATTCAAGTTGATGCGCATCTGAAGTCAAAAGCATAAATAAACTAAGTTTTATAACTCATAAAAAATAAAAAGGGTTTTTTTTTTTTTTTAAATGTGATCCATTTATAAAAATAGTCCTGATGAGTATAATATTAATGGAAATGTTTTGAAGATAAATTTATTAAATCCTAATAGAAAGATAGAAAAGAGTATCGGGTAATTCTGGAATTTTTTTTTCATTTTTGATATTAAAAAAAAACTAACCAATTTATTAAATATTTTCAATTCACATTACAATTAATAATAATAAAAAAAATAATAAAAATAATTTATCAAACTTCTATTTAAAGAAGTTGATGATGAAAAAGAAAAATATTGTTGAATAGAAGTTTATTTAACAGATATGCAATGGATTTTTATCAACACCCGTCAATCTAAGAGGTAAAAGTATAATTCAGAATTGTTTAGTGGTCAAATCACTGTGGATATAGGAAAAAATCCATAAAACCAAATTGGGTCTGGTATGTTACTAAAGATAGAAATTCAACATTGTGTGAATTTGTTTTTTTTTTCGAAACAAATCTGGGTTTTGCATTCATAAAAATTATTTGAAAAATAAAATCATTTCTAATAAAATTTTTTAAAAAATAGATTTTTTAATTTTTTTATTTTTATTTTTTATTTTTTAAAAATTTTCTTTTACTTTTTTTATTTTATTTCATTTTAATTATTTGAATAAAATTTTTTTTTTTTTTTTTTCTAGATATTTTTTAAATTATTTTTTATAAATATTCACCAGAAGATAAGTTTATTTTATTTTATTTTTTAATTATTATTTTTTATTTTTTAATTATTTTTCTTTTTTTTCATTTTATTTTATTTTTATAAATAAATAATATAATAATAATAATAATAAATGGTATCAATTAATGACCCTTTACTTGGGGGTGACTCAAAAACAAGAAATCATCATATTTTAAATTCAATTTTATTAGGTGTTGCTTTATTCTTTTTATATTGTGTAGGTATTATTTTAAAAAAATTACAAAAAAAAAAAAAAAAAAAAAAAAAAAAAAAAAAAGTATTAATTATAAAATTTACTTTTTATAATTAATTTAATATTTAGGTAATGTTGTATGGAACAGCATTAGGTACACAAGAAGCTTATGGAAATTTTATATTTTATGCAATCATTCTTGTTACAGCATTTATTTCACCATTTTTAATATCAAAAACTAGAGAAAAGCTTGCAATGATAATATGCTCACTTATTTGGTTAACTGTATTTTTACTCGAAACATACACAAATGTTCCAGTTATCACTGATATTATTTTACCATTTGCATTAATGTTCCTTTGGACTGCAGTTGGTGGTTTTATGTTTGTAATTTCATCAAGATCAAATATTGGTTTAAACTTTGGTATTGTAAGTACCTTTTTTTTTTTTTTTTAATTTCTTTATTATTATAATAATTTTTATTAACTAATGTTTGTTTAATTATAGTTATTTTCAATAATGGGATTATATGCAGGATTCCAAATTGCAGCAGAAAATATGGCACCACAATCAGTTTCATATGTTGCTGTTTTTATAATATTTATTGTAATTTCAATTGTATTATTCCTTTTATTAGGTAACCCAGGTACTAATGTAGAAAAAGAGCATCCTAGTGAAAGTTTAAAATGTTTAAAAAACAAAAATTTCCTTTTATTAATTCCAGTCATGCTTTATCTTGGTATGGGTGAGTCATTTGTTCAAGATATATTCTACAATCCATCAGTCGGCTATTTCAAAGTATATGGTATCGTTTATAGTGTCACTGCAATTGTACTTGGTTTTTTAAGCGATAAAATTCAAAGAAAATATATTTTAATTGCTCTTACAATTTGTGGAATTATTGCCTCAATCCTCACAATTATCTTTTTCTACCACCCAGAAGATACACCACAACATTTACCATTGTATGCAACTACAGTACTTTTCGCAATTTGTAATGCCGGTATTTACGTTCAAGTCTATTGTGCAGCTGGCTTAATGTTCTCTAGAAAATCACTCTCTGTTGCCGCATTGGTCAGATTATTTATCGAAATGGGTTCATTCATCGCTTTCATCTTTTTCCAATACATCAATCAAGGTTATATCTACACCTTATTAGCTTTATTAGTTATAGGTTCAATTTTATTTGTTTATGTTTTACATAATTCTTATAGAGTATAAACCAGAATATTTTTCAAAATTTTAGAAAGAAAAAAAAAAAAAAAAATCTTTTTTTTTATAAATTATAAAAAAAAAAACTATTTAAAATAAAAAACTAATGAATAAAAAAAATAAAATATTAGAAATTTAAAAAAAAATATGAAGCTGGGAAAAAAATTTTATAAAAAGTTCTTGGGAATAGTAAAAAAAGAAATATTTTTTTTTGTTAAGATTACTTCTCATTCAATTCGTCGAGGTTGGAAAAAAAAAAGATATTTTGGAAACCAAAAAATAAAAAGTTTTTTTTCGAAAATTTAGGTTGGTTTTTTTAATTATTTAAATATTATTTTTTTAAATTTTTATTTTTTGTTTTTAAAACAAATTTTTAAAAAAACTTTTAATTTTATCAAACAGGAAAAATGAGAATTTTAATTGCTTTATTTGTTTTAATAATCTCTTGTGTTTATTCACAAAAGGTTATTAATACCAAAATAGTTTACACTGAAGATTTTTGCAGCAATGGCACACCAAAACCAGTCCCACCAAAAGTATTTTGCCCAACAGGTTATCAAAGTTGGTCAGGTGGTTTAATCACAAAGGAAAACCAATGTGTTTATATTCCACACATCTCAACTGCACCAACCACACTCACTTTATCCAGTGATAATCAATCAGTTGTTAAAAGTGAATTTGCATTATCAGATTATTACTGTGCCAGTAAGTAATTTGTTTTAAAAATATAAAGATCATAATAATCAAAACTAATTTAAATTTTCATTATTATTTTATAGATAAAACCACCTCCCAAGAAACTGTTTCTTTAAATACATGTACCCAAGATTGCACCCAAGATGCCCAATTATTTAAATATGAAATTGATTCAGTTACTGACGATCTTGAAGTCCCAAGCAAATCATTATTATCTATTTCAACCAGTAGCGATAACTGTAGTGAAGATTGGAAGAACTCATTTAACTTTATTTACTACTACTCATTAAAGACATGTGTTAATGATCCAATTCAAGGCAGTTTTATGCTCGATTGTAATTCCGATAGTATAACAGTTTATTCATTTGATGCCCAAAACTGTAAATCAAATGTTCAAATTTCACACATCCCACTTTCACAAGATTGCAACAAATATCAAGTTTGCGCTAATTAATCAAACCATTCACACCAAAAGTGTGTTAATCAAATCAAAATAAAAATAATAAAAAAATAAAAAAATAAAAAAAAAAAAAAACATAAAAATAAAACTTGTAAATATTTTAAAATAAATCAATACTAAAATCTATTTCCTTTTCTTTTTTTTTTTCTTTTTTTTTTTTTTATTTTTTTAATTTCTCAAATTTTTTTTTATAAAAATACAATTTTTTCATAATTTGTAAAAAAAAAAAATTTATTTTGAAATGATTTTATTTATTTAAAAATAGATAATGGAAGAGAGTATATCATTAACAGGCGCCAATGGTGGGACAATAAGTAGAAGCCATCCGCTACTAAATTCGGTTTTCATAGGTCTTGCATTTGTTTAGTATGTCAATTGTAGGTTTAAAATTTAAAAAAGTAATCAATTAAAGTTTGTATTATTAACACAAATTATTTTTTAAAGACAAATGTTGTTGGTGGTTTTACAAATGCCAATGTAGTTATTGATTCAACTCAATGGATTTACTGTCAATTTATATATTTATTATTTATAGTATTATCTTGGCTTGCATCACCCTATATAATATCAAGGTTTAGAGAAAAATACTGTATGTTTGCATCAGCTGCTATATTCTTTGTTATTAGCTTTATCAGAGTATTGGCACCAAGATTCATGCTCATTCCAATAATACTCTTTGCAATTGGGACAACCATACTTTGGGCATCTGCTGGCTCCTATATGTTTATGCTTCATAATCCTACCAAAGAAATCCCATTTACTGGTACATCATTTGGTACAGTAAGTAAAATAGAAAACAATATATATAATATGGGTTGTATTAAAACTAATTTCTTTTATCTTTAGTTTTTAGGTTTATTTGGATTTTATAGATTGTTTATGGTTTTAAATTCAAGAGATACAATGATCTCATCAATTGTAATATTCATTATAATTAGCGCAATTTTAATATTTTTATTAATTGAACCAGCAAAAGAATTTGAAAAGGAACATTACGATGTTAGAGATATAGTTGGATCATTACGTGCACCACTTTTATTTTTAACCAGCAACAGGGATTTCCTCACTATAATACCAGTAATGTTATATTTAGGTTTTTCAAATGGCTATGTAGATTTAATAGTATATGCTGGAGAATACACATTTTTTGTTTACTCTTTAATATTCAGTTGCTCAGCATTTGGTTTTGGTGTACTTTCAGACAAAATACCAAAGTTTAGACTTTTACTTTTTATCATCATGGCAAGCGCTTTAACATCAATTCTGGTGATTATTGCATACTTTACAAATGGTTCTGTTCAAACAGGATTCTACTATGTTATTTCAATTACAATAGCATTCATTAATGGAGGTCTTTATAGTCTACTTTATACCACAGTAAACACAATGACAGTTATTTTTAAAACATTATCAGCCTCATCAAAGTATAATTTCTTTATTCAATTAGGGTTCATTTTTATCCTTCTTCTTTTTCACTTTTATTAGTGGTGCCTCTATTTTCTTTTTAATAACTTTATTAATCGTATCACTTTTATCATTATTATATCTTTATAAATTTAATCAAAACTATAATAATACTAATAATAATAATATTTTTGATGAAATTTTTAAAAGAAATACATATAGCAATAATAACAATAATAATACCTATAACAACTATAACAACTATAACAATTACAAAATAGACAACAATAATGAAAATGATGATAATAATGATAATAATAATAATAATAATCAAAATAACGATATTAATGGTATTAATAATATTGATGATAATAATGATAAAAATAATAATGGTAATGATGATTTCTCACAAATCAATGTCTAAAACTCTTAAAGATAATAAAATATATTTATAAATTAAATAAATTTATTATATAGTTTTATTTTCTAAATTTCTAAAAAAAAAAAAAAAAAAAAGAATTTTTAAAAATTATTTATTTATTTATTTATTATTTATTGTAATATTTAATTTTTAATTTTTTATCTTTACTTTGCATAAGAAGTTCCTTTAGTTTTTTATAGATTCCATAACAAGATGTCATTTTAATACATTTTAAAGATTTATTTTCTTTTAGAAATCTAACAAAATATTTAAAGTATTTAAAATATTTGCATTTATTTGAACACTCTGTAGTTGTATCTTTATTATTTGGATCTAGTTGGCAATTTAAAATATATAATTTTTGAATATTTGAATTATGGTTGCAATGTATAAAAAATGATTCTATTGATTTTAAATCACACCGAAGTATTTTTATATTTGGTAAATCTAATAAAGGTGATAAAGATTTATAGCCGCCTATTATAAAATGATTGTTATTATTTCCGTGCTTCTCTTTTATTTTGAATATTTCTAAACCCAATTGAGTCAATGTACTATTTCCATATAATATTTGAAGAGAAGAATAAGGATTATAGTTATTGCTTGAACCCCAAACACATTCTCTTAATATCAGCTTCTTAATTGATCTATTTTGTGAAATCTTTGAATCTAAAAATATGTTTGAAAGTGTGATACTTGTGTCGTTTTCACCCAGCCTTAATGTTAACGATTTAATTGTTGTTGACTTTAGCGCTAGAGTGGCAAATTCTATGGGTGTGTTATGAAAACAGAACTGAATTGTTTGAAGCGAGCCACCTCCTTTAGTTAGAATTGTATTTAAATAATTTGGATGGAGCCCTGTTATTGATGGAGATGTTGTAATCCTAATTTTTCTGGGATTGAATAATGATAAATTGTCCAGTACTTGTTGCACTTGGTACTCTTCTTTTGCATCCCAGTAAAGCATAATCTTGTTAAATTGAAACACACCATCGGAAATCAAATCTCTGTAAGCTCTACCACAGTCCTTTATTATCGTAATATATTGTTCAAAGTAAAATTTTTTATACTGATATCCATTACCGATTGCTGCTGTTATTGAATCTAAATTTAATTTTAGTTGGCTTGGGCAATAATCAAAATTATCTTTAAAAAATAAATTTTGTGATTCTTTAAACTGAATTAATTTGTATTTATAATTTTGATCGTTGTTGTTATTTAGGTAAAATAAAAAATTAAATATTTTTAAAAAAAATTTAATTTTATTTGGGTGGTGTGTTAAATAATTTTGAATCGATCTAAATGATGATTTGCATATTAGAGATAATTCCAATAACCTTTGAAATGAACAATTAGAAACTAATAATTTTTCAATATCATTATAAATTAAAAAATTTAGTTTTTTTTCATTGTTCATTCTATATAATATAAAAAAAAAAAAAAAAAATACTGGAATATTAAATGAACATGAGTCAATGAGAAAAAAAAAAAAAAAATATTTTGTTTTTAGAAAAAAAAAGGTATTTTTATTTTTGTTTCATTATTGAAATTGAAATTGAAATTGAAAATAAAATTGAATATGAAATTGAGTATGAATATGAAATTGAAATTAAAATTAAGATTGATAAAGAAACAAATATAGAAAAATTTAATCTCTTTTAAATAATTATTTATTTAATTTTTTTTTTTTTTTTTTTTTTTTTTTTTTCATTTTTATTTTTTTTAAATTATTTTTTTTTGAATTTTAATTTTTTTAAAAATTTATTGATCTTAAATAAAAGCAGTAAATAAATAAACTTATAATAAATAAGACCATAAATAGATAAATAAATAATGAGTATATCAATAACAACAGAAGCATTAGGTAAAATACATTTACACTCATTCAAGTATCCATCATCATCGGTAAACGGAATTTTAATTGGAAAAGCAGATAAAAATTCAATTTTGGTTAAAGATTGCATCCCATTATTTCATACACAAACCTTATTACCAATGTTTGAAGTTGCAATGATTCAAGTAATACCCATTTATTATTACTATTATTATTATTATTACTATTCAATTAATATTAATATTAACATATCTATTCAAATTATTTAAATAGATTGAAAAATATTGTAGAGATAATAATATCGATATGGTAGGATTTTACCATTCTAATCAAAGTTTATCAATAGATTTAGAACCAGAACCAATCTCAAAAAAGATCTCAGAAAGGTTATATAACGAATTAAATAATATGTGTTCTTTAATGGTAAATTTTATTTTATTTTTATGATAATACCTTTATCATTTCACAATTATCATAATTACTCATTTATTTTACTTTTATAGGTAACTAAAATAGATGATACATGCACTAGTGGTTTGGTTTTATTAGAAAGAGCAGGTTCAGATAATTGGGTAAAAAATAGAAAAGCATTAATACAATAGATACAACATCAAATTCAGAAGATATCAAACAATTAATAAAAAGAAATTTACAACAAACTAAAGAATCAACAATACATGACTTTGAAGAATACCTTTCAAACCCAACCTATGATTGGTTAAATAAATCCTTAATTTTGTAAACAAATAAAGTAAAAAATGGTTTAAAAAAAAACAAAAAATAAAAAATAAAAAATAATAAAAATAATAAAAATAAAAAAATAATACCACCACCACACATAATTTAAAGTTTAACGGTTAAATACCAAATTCATGGACGATATTTGGGAACAAATTATAGATTATATGATTGATATGGTGTGTGTTAGTAGGAAAATATGTAATGTGTGGGTTCATTTTGATAGTTGGATCTAATACTGCTTTATAATCTTATTGTTAAGTGTGTGCATATTGTGTGTATATGTGTGTATGTTGAGTGTGTGTATATTTTTGTCAATCAATTATCCATTCATGATAATTTTAATAAAAAAACAATTTTTAATTATTTTTAAATATTTTTTTTTTTTTAATTTTTTAAATTTTTTAAAATTTTTTTTTTTGTTTTTTTTTTAAATTTTTTTTAAATTTTTTAAATTTTTTTTTCTATTTAAATTTATATATAATTACAGCTATTATAATTATATAATTATTTATTTATCCCTCTTCAACTTTTTTTATTTCCTTTGTCATATCTTCAGTTTTTTTTTTTTTTGTTTTTTTTTTTTGTTTAAGACGATATACAAATAGAAATAATATATATATTTATTAATAAATTAATTTGTAATTTTATAAACAAACCTTAAAATAATTTTTATAATTATAAAAATAAATAAATAGATAAATAAACAATAACTATAATAGTAAATAGGTAGATTATAACTAAATATCAGATTTTCCTTTAGCTTTATAATAGAATCATAATTCATTCAAGCAACTAAATATTTAATAAAAATGTGTATGTAACCAATAACAAACATCCATGTATACATATTCTATTTATCAATAAAATATAATAATTTAAACTATTTGATGTAAATTTTGATCAACGTGCAAATATAAAAAATCAACAAAATTAGTTTTTTTTTTTATTTTATTTTCCTCTCTCTTCTTCACACATACAAAACTTATCTCAAATTACCGCTTAATAAATAAACTTTTAATTAATAATAATAATAGAAATACAAACAAAAAAAAAAAAAAAAAAAATCGAAATATAAAACGGGTTTATCAAAATCAATATCAATATATGGAATATTTCCTTATATAAAATTTAATTTGTTGGTTTTTTTTTTATAATTTTTTTTTAAAAAAAAAAATTTTTAATTTGATTTTTTCTTTTTTTTATTTAATCAACATGGATCATAATCAACTATTAAATAATAACCTTATATGTAAAGTTTTTATAAATATTTATATTCACATTCCATTCATTTAAATTCGATATATATATAAAAAAAAAAAAAAACATTCAAAAACCCATAAAATAATAATAGTAATAATGATAGTAAATAAATAATGATAATAAATGATAATAATAATAATAAAAAATAATATCATAAAATATATTTAATTTTTTTAAAAATATATAACTGTTATAAAAATAGCACACCCACAAAATATACCCACAAACATTTTAATTTAGTTATATAAAATAACTTGGCACAAAAATACATTTAATTTTTTCAATATATAAGACCATATTTTCAATTTACAACTATATTCAGTTTATAAACAATAAATAAATAATATAATTTAATATAAAAAAATATCACACTTTATATTATTTTTTGTGTGCCATAATTTTTTTATAATTTTTTTAAAATAACAATTTTTTTTTTTTTTTTTTAAATTTTTTTTCTTTTTTTTTTAAATATTTTTTTTTTTTTTTTTTTTTTTTTTTAAAAATTTTTTTTTTTTTTTAACCCCCCCCCCCCCCAAATAGAAAAAAAAAATGGTAAAAATAAAAGAGTTTAGATTTTAAAATTAATTAAATTATTAATTAATTTAAACAATATACTTATATATTACCATATATACCAATAATATATATATATATAATAAAAAAAAAAAAATATTAAACAGATAACATGAGTTTTTGGCGTAATTTTGGATTTCAACCAATATCACATATTGAAAGTATTTTAGATAGGGATTACTTCACCTTGGAAGATTTATTTGACGAAGATGAACTCCTTCAAGAATGTAAAACTCAAAATAAAAGATTAATCGAATTGTAAATACCAAATTAATTCTATTTAATAAATAAATATTTATAGATAACAATTTATAATATAGCTATTTCTAATACTAATAAACAAATATAACAGCTTAATTAAACCAGAATCTTTAAATGGAATGTTCGAATTCATCACCAAAGAAGCCCCAGAAGATGCCGAAAGAAAAAGAAAAGAAAAGTAATTATATAACTATAGTTTTTCTATTGGTGGATATTTTTAAAAAAATTTAAAATTTTTTAAAAAAAAAAAAAAAAATAAAAAAAAAAAAAACTAATTTTTTCTATATATAATATTATTACAGTTATCCTTATTTAGCATCAGAAATTTTATGTATGGACATTCAATCACTTATTGATGCAATTTATAAAGATGATACCTATTTAGAGCAATTATATGATTATTTAAACAAACCAAATTTCAATTTAGGTTTAGCAGCTTACACTAGTAAGGTTGCCATTAACTTTTTAGGTAGAAAAACAATTGATGTAAGTTACAAATATTTGATTTAGCATTTAGAAATTTTTTTTTAACATACCAATTTTAATCTTGTAATTATTTAGACAATGGCTTATATCAAAAAACAAGAAAATATTGTAGAAAAATTCATTAAACACCTAGATAAATCACCAGTTGTTGAAATCTTATTAAAGATCATCAGCATTGAAGAATATCAAGGTGGTGCTGGTACTTTAGAATGGTTAGACAAACAAAATTTAATTGGTGGTATTATTGATGAATTTGATCCATCATTAGACTCTGAAGTAAGTATCAATAATTTTTTAAACCTATAAAGATTATAAATACTAATTTTTTTTTTTTTTTAAACTATTTATAGTATCACGAAAATGCTTCATTCATCTTATCTGAAATTGTTGAAATGACAAGAAACATCACTGATTCACCACTTTTAGAAAGATTAGAAAGTGAAGAAATGATTAAAAAACTTTACAACTATATTTTACAAGAAACACCATTAGGCACCGCTTTCCTCTATGGTTTAACTGTAATTATTAGATTATTAAGAAGAGATAAAGATAATTGCAAAAACGAGTTAGTCACTGCTCCACTCGAACAATTATCACCGTTATTTAAAGAGTCATTGGCCCATATTGAAGAGTTCAACAAACTTCTCAAACAAACTTCTGATATTAGCTTTACTACCACTACTGGTCCACTTTCACCACCATTAGGTTTCCACAGATTAAAAGTTATCGAATTCTTTGCCGATTTAATTAATTCACGTTATTTATGTATTGATAAAAAAATTATGGAACTTGATATTTTATCAACATGCTTAGTAAGTTCAAAATTATTTTAATCATCATAATCATCATATTTATTAATATTTTTTTCTTTTTTTTTTCCTTTTTTTTTTTTTTTAGGAATTATTCTTTAAATATCAATGGAATAACCTTCTCCACAGCCAAATTCACCAAATTTGTCAAATTATTTTATACAGTGAAAATGATGAACTCAAAGTTTGTCTTCTCAAAGATGCCAAGCTTCTCGATAGAATCATTGATGCTGACCAAGCAAATACCAACGAATTAAAGAACCCTAAAGGTATTAGATTCGGTTATATGGGTTTCTTAAACAGTATTGCTCAATCAGTATGTGATGTTGCTAAAAGTTCTGATGAAATTAGACAAATTGTTGATGGTAAGTTTATATCTTGTAATATATAAATATATATCCCTATGTTAATATTAATTTTTTTTTATAATAGAAAATCCAAGATGGGCTACTTTTGTAACAGATTCATTAGAACCAGTTTTAAATCTTGAAAATGAACCATTAGGTGAATTTAAACCAAGTTTAATGACTGCCCCAGAGAGCGCTGAAGAAGATGATGATCAATTTGAAAATGGCGATGATGGTTTTGATAACTATGAAAATGCTTATCAAGATCAAATGGACTATAGCGACGAAGATGACTATGATAACCAAAAGGTTAACACCGTCAATTATATCGACGAAGATGATGAAGAAGAGGATTACGATATACGATTCCAACAACACCAACAACAACAACAACATATCGACGAAGAAGAAGATGAAGAAGAAGATGAACCAATCGAACATCATCAAGAACAACAAAAAACAGAACCAGCTCCTTCATCAGCATCAACTGAAAGTGTACAAGAATCTAATGATCAACAAGAATCAACAGAACCAACAGAATCTAAATCTGAAGATTTATAAAAATAATATAAAATAATAATAACTTTTTTTTTTAAAACAAAAAAAAACCTCAATTCACCTCCCCTCACCTTCACAACACACATATGTAATCCTTTATTTAATCGTATCATATAGATTGTATATTCATAAAACCAAAACGATCTCCTAAAAAAAAAAAAAAAAACCCTTAAAAAAAAATTATAATATTAAATTACAATTTGGATGTATTTAAAAAAAACAAAAAAAATAAAAAAAATAAAATATAATATTATTTAAAAAAACTTAAATGTGTGTTTTAAAATTTTTCTTTTTTTATTTATAAATCAGTAACAATTAAACGCAACTCTAATTGTATTTATTGAATTTCAATAAATTTAATTTTTTTAAAAATAAATTTTTTAAAAATTTTTTCAAAATTTTTTTCCTTTTTTTTTTTTTAATTTTTAATTTTTTTTTTAATATTTTTTATTTTTTTATTTTTTAATTTTATACATTCTAAAACTTAAAAAATACACAATGGCGTATGTATACAAATAATAGGATTTTTGATTGTCTCATCCAAGACATTGCTAAATTTGATATAAAGAAATTTAATCACAAAAAAACTAATAAACATAACTAAATTACCATTCTAATATTATAGTACCTTACAACCAAAAGTAAAATGGGCAGAAAGACCAGAACATGTTTATATTACAGTCGAAGCACCAGTTAAAAAACCAAATATCGACATTCAAAGCAATAGTATTAAATTTGAAGGTAAAGATGGTGAAAATAAATCTTATGTCTTCGAAATCAGTTTATTCAAAGAAATTGATCCAAAAGAATCAAAGACCGATTTCACTGGTAGATACCCAAAAATTTTATTAAAGAAAACCGAATCAGGTTACTGGAACTTTTTATTAAAAGATAAAAAGAAAGAAAAATTCGTCGAAACCGATTGGTCACTCTGGAAAGATGAAGATGATGTTGGTGAAGAAGAGGATGTCGACAAATTTGGCAACTTTGGTGGTATGCCAGGCGGTATGCCAGGTGGTATGCCAGGTGGTATGGATTTTGGCGGTATGGATTTCTCCAAAATGATGGGCGGCATGGGCGGCATGGGTGACATGGGTGGCGATATGGACGATTTAGAAGATCTCCATGACCACGGTGAAGAAGAAGAAGAAGGTAAAAACACAGAAAAAACAGAAGAAACTAAACTCAACTCTGTTGATTAAATATTTTAAAATTATTCATTTTTTTACTCTCTAATATAAATAAAAAATAAAAACCAAATCTAAAAAAAAAAAAAAATTTCACAAAATTATTTATTTCAATATCTTATTTAAAATAAATCTAACATAATTAAAATAAAACCAAGTTTAACTTGGTATTAATAAATCTATAATATTATTGTTTAAAAATATAATTAAATTTTAATTTTTTTATTTTTTTTTTATTTGCATATATGTGTTATAATATTATTTATATTTTTTTAATAAGTATTTGCCATTAATAAAGCGGCTGCAGTTTGTTGATAATCACTTAATCTATAAAGAATTAAAAAAAGAGATGTTAATAAAAATTTAATGTTTAAAGCTTTATTATGATTATTTTAATTTTTTACCCTTACGATAATTTATTTTGGATTTGTTTGTGGATTTGGCACAAGAAATCAATATAAGATACAGAGTCAACACCTTTATCTTCGTGGAATTGTAAACGAAGATGGGCATCAATTGGATCGCCTTGAACAACAAAAATAACAGGTCTTTCTCTATAGCCACGGAGTTGGGTAATCGAATGAATGATGGCTTCAACTCTTTGATGATATTCATTTTGACCATTAAGACCTTGGTAAAGTTGAGAGAGTTTACTATTGGTATAACCAAAGGTAGATTCGATTCCAAAAAGATCTCTAAGATAATTTGTAGCGGCAAATTGTTGAACCCAAACAATAATTTGACGACCATCTTCGACGATATAAATACCATTTTGAGAGATTTGATCAGCAGATAAACGTACAAAATGTGGTAATACAATGTGATCTTGAGTTGGGTGACGAAGACCATCACCTGGTAAAAGATTGTGAATTGGATAGGTACGTGGATAAATAAGAGGTATAATTCTTGATGGCGATGATGAGGCATAAAGATTTATATAAAAGTAACGAAGATCTTGAGAGATTTCATTTGATAAACGGAAACATGGGGTTTTCATCATTGCTAAAATATAGATTGGCATTAATTTAATACCCTCTGGTAAGATTAATTGGGTGGCTTTCTTATCAGAGGCACAATTCTTTCTGTAGGATGCTAAAAGTTCGACACCTTTATCGACAGTATTAGAACGAACCATGGTGGAGGTGGTAGAGTTAACAATTTCTTTACTAGCAACTCTTGCTAAATAGGTTGTGATTGAATCCAAATCAGAGTCTCTGAAAAAGTTTGCTAAAACTGAATCGACTGATAATCTTAAATTGTGTACTCTAATCTTGGTTTCACCTCTAATATTTGTATAAATCATAGCGAATTGAATGTATGCTTTTGATTTTGGTTTTAATTTATCATCATATTTAATAACAGCTGTAATACTCTTGTCACTGGTAACACCTGCCATTTGAACTAAGCCTGCAGTAGTTTCAGTAAGGTTACCAAAATAACCATTAATAGTTAAACCTCTTGAGCATCTAATCTTTGAGGTGGCATTAAAACCATATTCCATTGTAACGTAATGAACAATATCACTTGAAAGTTGTTCAGAGTGGTGATCGGCAGAATAAAATTGATAGAGATTAATGTGGCCACCGGTAGTGGTGGCTAATTGAGCATATGATGGAACATCACAGATTTCCATTGGAATAACAAAGAGGTCAATTGAAACATTTTTAGCAACACAATCTTGAGCAACCATTTTATAGAAAGAGCTGCTTGGTGATGGTTGAACTGAACGTTCAGTACGTTTTGGAATTGCACCAGGTTGACCTTTTGGAAGTACAGTATTAAATGTGAAAACTCTACCACCGGTTTTTTCTAATGCCATTGAGGCAGCTTGAACGGCGGCACCAAATGCGAATGGGGCTTGCATGGCAGCTGGACGTTTAAAGAAGGTTTTGTAGTTTGCAAAGAAGAAGTCCATTAAATGTTTTGATTGACGGTAATCAACGAGGAAGCCGCTATCTTTTTCGTCGATTGGAACAAATACATTTTCGTGGGTTAATACCTTCATTTGTGGATAAGTATAGGTTGGTTTAAATGACCAGAAGTGTACTTCAGTATCATAAGTAATAATACCAATACGTTGTGGTACATTATCATATTGCTCATTTAAAATCTTTTTGATGCTGTCAATAATATTTTGAACGATACCATTGTTGAGAGTGAATTGTGAAACTTCGATAACAAAAATATAGCCTGGTACTCCAGCTGGATTGGCTTCGAGTTTAATGAAATCTACGGAGCCTCTTTGTAATTCTGGTCTCATTTCGAAATCGGTACGTAAACCATTTGGAAGAGTTGCACTAAAATATTCTTGTGGAACTGAGTTTTCAAATTCGCAAAGACGACATGTGAAATATTTACCACCGTTGTTGAATGGATTGAATGGATTCATGTAACCATGACAACGTTGACATTGAATTGGACCACCTGGGTGTCTAACAGTTGGGATTTCACCAGATACACCGTTGAATGCTAATGGTTGGATGTGAATAGCGAATGGTATATGAATAAGATTTAATGAATCTTCAGTCTCTGGAATGGAATAAAGTGTTGAACGAATAAAGTTTGGTGATGCATTTTGTTGATCAATAATAAGTTGTTGTACTGTTGATGGTGGTGGTGCAAGGGAGGTTTCAGAATTGGTTTTATAAACATATGAATTAAATTGCTCTAAAATTGCTGTTGGGCTTGGAACTTTGGACATGTTAATTCTATTATCATCAGATCCTGGTTGGCCTGGTTGTTGTTGCCATGGTTGTTGTTGTTGTTGTTGCTGTTGTTGTTGTTGCCATGGTTGTTGTTGTTGTTGTTGTTGTGGTTGCCATGGTTGTTGTTGGTTGTTTAATGATAAATTTTGTAAACTTGGAATTGGGTTATTATTCCATTGTTGTTGTTGTTGTTGTGGATAGTTGTTTGTTTGTTGCCATTGATTTGGTTGTTCTTGTTGTTGTTGTTGTTGTTGTTGTGGATAGTTATTATATTGATTTGATGAAGATGGTTGATTTGGTGATGCATATGGCTGATATGAATTAATTGGTGGGGTTGAGGTGTTTGGTTGTGGGTAACCTGGGTTACCTTGTGGTGGTACTTGATTTGAGGTGTTTGGTTGTGGGTAGCCCATATTTCCTGGTTGTTGTGGAGCTTGTGTATTATACGAATATGGTTGTGGTTGTGATTGTTGCGATTGTTGTGGTGGTTGTGATTGTTGTGGTTGTTGTGGTTGTTGTGGATAGCCAGTATTTGTCATTGGTGGTGTATTCTGATAATAATTATTTAATTGTGGTTGTTTTGATGGTGAAACTGATTGGCTACCTGTTGGTGGTTGTGATGGATAATTATTAGTCATTGGTGGAGCTGTGGTATTGGTTGGTGGAGCATTGGTTGGTGTTGCATTGGTTGGTGGAGCTGTAGTATTAATATTGGTTGGTGGTGGGGTTGCAGTATTAATATTGGTTGGTGGTGGATTAGTTGGTGGTGGGGCTGCAGTATTAATATTGGTTGGTGGTGGAGCATTGGTACTTTGTTGTTGATTTGGGTAGCCACCTTGTTGTGGGTAACCACCTGTATTATATGGATTATAATATTGTTGTTGTTGTTGTTGATTATTGGTTGGTGGAGGTGAAGTATTATTAGTTGGTGGAGGTGGGGTATTTTGTTGTTGATTTGGGTAGCCAGTTTGTGGGTAACCACCTTGTTGATTTGGGTAGCCACCATAACCACCTTGAGTTGGTTGTTGGTTATTATAATATTGTGGATAACCTTGGGTTTGTTGTTGTTGTTGTTGTTGTTGTTGATTTGGATACATTTTTCTTATATATAATTGTATTTATTTTTTTCAAAATATTTCGCTAAAATATAATTATTCCTATAAAAAAACCATAAACAAATGAAAAAACTAATAACTAATTATTGTTTTTATTATTTTTTCTTTGTATTTTTTTTTTCTTTTTTTTTTCTTTACCTATTTGAATAGAAATGATTAGTATTAAACCAAACAATTATTTAAAACTATTACTACTATTAATTTACTTTTTAGTTTAAAAAAAAAAAACTATAATTATAATTAGATGAAAAAATTAAAAAATCATATAAATTGAAAAAAAAAATAATAATTTTTGATGATGATAAAAAAAATTAAAAAAAAAAAAAAAAAGAAAAAAAAATAAAAAAAAATAAAAAAAAATAATTTTTTTTATTTTTTTAATTTTTAATTTTATTTAACACGAATTGCACAAACACATAAACAATTTAAATACATGAGTCAAAATTAAAATAACTATTTATAATTGTCCAATTTATACTCTATTAATATTTTTCATAAAGAGTACACACAATTATTTAAATAATGCAATGTTAGCAAAGCCAACCCTACAATAATGACTGTTTTTTATTTTATTTTTATTTTTTCGATTGATTAATAATAGATTTCTATGTTTAAAATTACTTACTTATTTATAGGTATGGTTATAGTATTTATTTAAAATAAAAAAAATATTAATTTAAATTTTAAAAAAAATTAAAATTAAAAAAAAAAAAAAAAAAAATTAGGAAATTATATTTTTTTTTTTTTTTTTTTTTTTTTTTTTTTTTTTTTTAAATTTTTCATGGTTTTAACCCTAATTGGAAAAAAAAAAAAAAAAAAAAAGAAGAATGTCTAGTGAACAAAATATACTATATTTGGTTGGTGATAAAGATATTGATAAAAATATAGTTTTAAAGAGTATATATACCCTATCCATTATTAACATGTAATAAATATTAACTTTTAATTTCATTTATAGCTTTAGATATCAATGATAATATATATAAAATAAGCACAAAATATTATAAAACAAGTATTACAATTAAAAGTATTGATTTGGATAAAGACAATACAAATAACAAACATTTAGCAGAGGATTCCCATGGTTTTATATTAGCTTTTGATTCTTCAAAAAGTGAATCATTCGAATTTATTAAACAATATATAAAAAACAATAAAAAACAGCCACAAGAAGACGATGGCGACGATGGTCACGATGATCAAGAAGAGTATGAAGGTGACATTGATGATACATTATATTTACTTATCGATATTAATGAAAGTAGCTCAAGCGCAATCGAGGATAAAATTGAAGAATGGTGTATAGAACACTTAATTGAATTTGTAATTTTAGATACTGCATCCCATAGAGACTATGACATTAGAAAATCAGAATTAACTGGTAAGTATTATCAACCTATTATAAAAAATAAATAAAAAACTAACCATTACTCTATTTCTATTTTATTATAATATATTTAGAAACTGATCCAACCATTAAATATGGTGTTGAAAGAGTTCAAGAAATTTTAGAATCAAATATGTGGCCAAATATGGACTTATTAAAAAATGATGAAAAAAGAAATAAAAACCAACAACAACAACAAGATGATGATGAATTTTCATCCATTAAAGACAATAAATACCTTCAAGAATCTTTGAAAAAAGTTGAACTTCTATTTAAGAAATCAAATAACGATAAAAAAGAAACTTCAGATAACAGCAATAAAAAACAAGAATCAAAATCAAAAGTTAATAACAATTTAATAGTCGATGAGCCAGATAATGACGAAGAGGATGATGTTGAAATATTTGAAAATACATTCAAAGAGCTTCAGTCATTAAGAGAACACATGAAGAACTTACCAGATGACCAAAGAAGAGACATGGCCGCCAAAGTTGCCTTAATGTTTGCTAAAAATTTATCAATGGGAGAAGACGACGAGGATGATTTTTAAATCCTCAAAACCTTATACAAAACAATATAAAAATACCATTAAATAAAAATACCAATATTATATTAATAATATTAACCTTTAAATAAAATACCTCAATTCAATATCATCACTATAAATTATTAATATTTTTTTTTTATTTTATTTTAGACAATAAAGTGTATAAAAAAAAAAAAAAAAAAAAAAAATATTGTAAAAAAAAAAAAATCATTTTTAAATCCATTAAATATTAAAAGGATTCTCAAACTGCTGTCAATAATCAAAATCATTTATATGGATTTTTTTTTTTTTTTGATGAATCAATCAGTCTGGAAATTTTTTTTTGGGAAAAAAAATCAAAATGAATTGGGTAAAAAAAAAAAGATATTTTTTTTATCCTGCAGAATTACGATGGCAACACCCCCATTATTTTTTAAAAAATTCTTTGTGTCATGTGTTTTTTGCCCCTAAAAAAAAAAACTAGATATAGATTGGGCTTTATCATTTCAAAAAATGAATGTGGGTGGGAAAAACAATAAAAACAGAAAAAAACCACAAAACACTAAATTTTATAATATTTATAAATAATAACTATCATATATTCACAAGAGTGTTCATTTCTTTTTTTTTAAATTTTTAAAAAAAGATTTTATCCATTTTCTTTGCTTTAGTTTTTGGAGAGGATATTTCTTGAAGTAATTAAAATGAAAACTATCATTTTACTTTATTTTGTTTTTTATTTTTTTGTGTGTTTAATTTTTTTTTTAAAAAAATTATTTAAACAAATTAAAATTTTTTTATAATTCATTAATTCAAAAACAAATATTAAAAAATACAAATAAATAATATACAAATAAAATGAGCAATCAAAATCTTACCGGTTTAGTTCCAGTTATTTATAACGCCATGGTTTCTCTTAGAACCAGTACCAACTATGATGGAAACCACACTGCTGCTAACTGTGCCTTATTCACTCGTAACGATCAATCAACCGATAGAGATGGTAGTGAAGCTTGGTGTGCATCAGTTAATGATACTAACCAATATATTATTGCCGGTACCGATGTTTTAAGAACCTACGTTGCCATTACTCTTCAAGGTAGAGGTGATAGTGACCAATGGGTTACCGCTTACAAACTTCGTTACACTGCTGATGGTGTTACATGGGTTGATTATAGAAATGGTGGTTCAATTCAAGGTAATTGGGATCGTAACACCCCAAACACCCATTTCTTTGATGCTCCATTTAGAGCTCGTTCCATTTCTCTCATCCCACTTTCATGGCAAAACCACATTGCATTAAGAATGGAACTTTATGCCAAACCATTCAGCACCACTTTTGTTCAAAACGGTAAAGTCCAAACAGGTGAAAAATCACTTCTTGCTAATGGTACTCTCAATGCTGAGGTTGTAGTTCCAGTTGTTTTTGAAGAAGAATTTTTAAGACCACCAAAGATTTCAATTTCATTCTCAAAATCAGAAACCACTGTTGGTCAAAGCTATCAAACTCGTTATGGTGTTATCACAAGAAATGTAACCAACAAAGGTTTTGATGCTGTTTTCCAAACCACTGTAGCCACTAGAGTTAACAACTTAATTGCTGAGTACATTGCCATCTCACAAGAATAAACTAACTATTATTCAATTTAATTTGTTAATTATTTAAATATTTATTACTACTCGAAAATATAAATAAAAATAATAAATAAAATATATCATATGATATAATTTAAAAAAAAGCTTATACCATATTTTATACTCTTTTAAAAATATATTACCAATTTTAATTTTTTTTTTTTTTTTTTAATGAAAGTTTCTTTTTTTTTTAAAAAAAACAGAACCCCCATTGATTTTTTTTAATTTTAATTTTTTTTTTCTTTTTTTAATTAAAAATTTTTTTTTTAAATTTTGTGGATGTGGGGGAAAATTATTTTTTTTTTTCATTTTCGTTTTTGTTCAATATACAAATAATTATATTCATTTATTTATTTATTATAATAGTCAATAATAATAATATTAATTAATAATAGCTAATAATTTTTTATATAAAATAATTAATAATTTCAATATCCACTTAAAAAAAAAATGAACGATTATGTTGTTTTATTTTGTGAAACCATTATCACAGTAGTTATTTCCTTCTTATTTGGTATGGTTTTTATTAAATACTATTTCAACAACAAAATTGGCAACAAAAATGGCAACAACAACTACAGCAATGAAAATGGCAATAATCAATCAACTACATCACAATATGATTGTCCACCTTCCTCTGATGAATATTTAGCTGAGCAAAGAGTTCAACAACAAGTACAAAAAAAACGTCAAGCAATTGAAGAATTGCTATTTCTTAGAAAGCAAGAATTGGAAAAACAAAAACAATTTAATTTTGAAAGTACTTCACAATCATATAATGACCCACCAAATATGAAAGACCCATCTTATTACCAACAAATGCCATATGCTCAACCAGAAACAGAAAGAGAACCTTCAACCTACCCAACATTCAATAAAAACGAGGCACGTCATTCTTTTTCTGATGACCCACAACCATCCAATAATACAGAAGCGGATCATATGTTTAAAAGAGAACCATCCGCCTACCCAACCTTCAACCAAAAAGAATCACGTTATTCTGTTGAAAAAGAACAATCACAATATGCTCCTCCAGAATCAGCAACCTCTCCACCAAATGAACCAAATAATACTTATAAATGGGAACCATCTAGTTACCCAACTTACAACCAAAATGAATCGCGTCATTCTTTTTCTGGTGCATCAAAATCACACAGTTATCCAGAATCACAAAGTAATGGTGCAAATTTCAATGGAGAATCACCATTTGTAGAGGAGTATGATGAATCAAGTGGGAAATGGGTTCCATTTTCTTAATCAATATAAGAAATATAAATATAATCAACAAGGGGGTCAAAACATTTTACAACAATATCAGCTAAACTCAATGCCATTTTCAAATAGCCAACTCATAATTTTTTTCTCAATAGCAACACTTAAATAGTTTTTTCAGTCAGTCCAATCAGAGATAGCTTAACCTAAAGAAGTAATAACATCCTATATAAAGTTAATCAAAATGATAATAATCATTAGTTAAAATATTATTTATTATAACAAAGTTTCAATATTTCAATATAATCAACTATTTAAAGAATATATATTTTGTCCTGGCCAGTCAAATGTGTATAACTAAATAATTTTATGAAGAAATAATTGTCCTTACAGTACCATCATGTTTTTATCAAAATATTTAAAATATGGTTCCAAAAAGCCGGTATAAAGCCATTGTAGAAATATATCTGGTGGTTTAGGTATTTAATTACTGAGTATGTTGTCATTCTTTTCCCTGGTTATTAGAACCAAATAATGGATCCTCACATTTAGTAATGATTTTAACCAAGTAGTTCCACCCGACACATTACCAAATAGTCTCACATTTGGTGGTGGTCACATAGTACTAAACAAAGAAGCCATGAAAACAATAAACAAATTACCCCAAAATAATCAAGAAAATCAAAATATAGAACAAGATTTACATTATAGTTGGTAGAGATAAAAAGATTATTGTGGGATGCATAAATAATACTAAATAAACTTTTTTGCTTAAAGATCATTTTAATAATTTCTTGTAGGACATATTTTTAATTGAAATCTTTTTAGAAATAGAGCTTTAATATTTTTTAATTTTCTTTTAATAATAAAAGTTTAAAATATTTTTTATAAAAAATTTATTTAATTAATATCAGGTTTTTAAATAAATCTTTTATTTTTTTTTTTTTATTTTTTTTATTTTTTTTAATATTTTTGGGAAAATTTTGGTAATATATTTTTTTTTTTAATAATTATTAATATAAAAAAATTGATAATTTATTTAATTTAAAATATTCACAATGGATGAGCTTCTATCATCTCTAATTAAATTTCGAGTAAATGAAGAGTTAAAAAACAGTAGTAATATTAGTGATAGGTAAGCATTTATTGTCAATAAATATAAATAATAGCCGATTATTTAAAAGCATGTTAATTAGTGTTTTCTCTTTTTAACTATTTATTATAGATTATTATATATAGTTTGGAATAATATATTTTTAAGAAATGAAATTCATAAACATATTTTAAAGTTTATTGAACATAGTGTTGTAGAAATTAATAGAGCAAGTTATTACAAGTTTAAAGATAAATCATATATAACAACCCTTAAGTGGCTTAGTTATTTACTTCCAGGTAAAAATGAATTTCCACCATTTTTGACAAATTTATATTTGATCCATTTAAATATGCCACTAACAAATTTACCAAATACAATTACAACTATCATTTTCGGTTGTGATTTTAACCAAGTAATTCAACCCGGCACATTACCAAATAGCCTCACAACACTCACATTCGATATTAGTTTTAACAAAGTAATTCTACCCGACACATTACCAAATAGCCTCACAACACTCACATTCGGTCATTATTTTAACCAAAAAATTCCACCTGACACATTGCCAAATAGCCTCACAACACTCACATTTGGTGACTTTTTTAACCAAGTAGTTCCACCCGGCACATTACCAAATAGCCTCACAACACTCACACTCGGTAATAACTTTAACCAAGTAGTTCTACCCGGCACATTACCAAATAGTCTCACAACACTCACATTTGGTGATTGTTTTAACCAAGTAGTTCCACCCGGCACATTACCAAATAGTCTCACAACACTCAAATTCGGTTATTATTTTAACCAAGTAGTTCCACCCGACACATTACCAAATAGTCTCACAACACTCACATTTAGTCATTATTTTAACCAAGTAGTTCCCCCCGGCACATTACCAAATAGTCTCACAACACTCACATTTGGTCATTATTTTGATCAAGTAGTTCCACCCGGCACATTACCAAATAGCCTCACAACACTCACATTCGGTGAAAACTTTAACCAAGTAATTCTACCAGGCACATTACCAAATAGTCTCACAACACTCACACTTGGTGATTTTTTTAACCAAAAAATTCCACCCGGCACATTACCAAATAGTCTCACAACACTCACATTTGGTCATTATTTTGACCAAGTAGTTCCACCCGGCACATTACCAAATAGCCTCACAACACTCACATTTGGTAATAACTTTAACCAAGTAGTTCCACCCGGCACATTACCAAATAGTCTCACAACACTCAAATTCGGTCGTAGTTTTAAACAAGTAGTTCCACCCGGCACATTACCAAATATAAGATAAACCGAATACTGGTTGTTCGTTAATTTGGTCACCATTGTTGTATCGTTTTTAACATGGTGAATGTATGTGAGAGAATGTTTGTTTGGATATCAACAAACTAATTTATGTACATAAAAATTTAAATTTAAAAAAAAAAAAAAACAAATACACACAACAATTTATATTTTTATTTTTTTATTTTTTTTTATTTTTTTTTATATTTTTATTTTTATCTATTTTTTTCTATTCATATTTTTTTTTTTTTCTTCATATTAAAAAATCATATATACATTATTATTTTCATTTTATAATAATATAAAAATAAATATTTTTACTTATTTTTATATTTTTCATTGCCACATTGTTTCGTTTAAATTCCCGCTTCAAACAGAAACCTTAAAAAATTAATTTAAAAAATTTTAAAAAAAACTTTAGAAAATTATAATAAATTTATTTTATTAAAAAATTCAAAAAAAATAAAAAAAAATTCAAAAAAATAAAAAAATAGTATTACATTGCTAAAATTATTAATAAAATTGAAATATCAACAAAATCCGTTAAATTTTATTACAACCATCTCTTCACTCTATAGGCTCGATGCTCAATAGAGTTACACTATTATTATTGTTATTGTTTAATAGATAAATAATTAATAATTAATATAAATAATAATAATAATACATAATAAAAATAATAATATAATAATTAATAAATAAAGATGAATAATAGCTTTATACAATGTAAAAAATCAAATGAAGAATATACCGAAAATTTAGAATGGAGAAAAAATTTAATATTAGTTTTTGAAAAACTAGGGGAAAAAGAGCAATCATCACAATCACTACAATATTTAATTAATCAGCTTCAGCAAATGAATACAAGTCAAATCCCATTTTATATGGTAATGTATTAAAATATTTAATATTAAATAATAGATAAATTAAAATTTTTATTAATACTGTTCTATATAAAAGGATTGCATTTTGGAAAATAGCGAAAATTTTAATAATTTAGGTAAAAAAGAAGTCATTAAACTATTGGGCATAACTATATCGATGTATAAGAATAAAGTTAGTGGTTTTTTAACAAAGATCATATCATTTTTGGTAAAGAGGCTAAATGAATTACAATCGTGTGGACTATTAGAAATTACATTAGAAACATTAGGTATTACATGCGGAAATACAATAATCGAACAAAAACATTTACAAAAAATAGGTTTAAATTTATCAACTATTGGTGGCAATGCCAGTAGTGGAATAAATCCAAATAGTTTAATTGATATCTATTTAAATCCAATTTTTGCTTTATTTAATCAACCAAGTAGACATATACAGATAGCAGGTATTTTAGCATGTCAGAAAGTTATAGAAAATGTTTATGATGTAAATAATTTATTAAGGCCCCAGGTAAACAAAATTTTAGGACAATTATTAAAGAAACTAACCATATCTGTGGTGCCTATTCAATCCTCATCCTCAATGTCATCTTTCCCCGCCCAATATTGTATACCCCACACCCTATCGACCATTTCAAGTTTGTTTAGAGTTTTAGGTCAAAACTATTTCCTATATCATTGTATATTGCCAACCTCTACAGTAGATCAAATTCAAAACAATGTAATCTCAAATTGCTTAAGAACTTTATTTTCAAATGATTGGACCGCTCGTTTTTCTGCATGTTCGTTATTATTAACTATTATAGAAATTTTACCACAATACTTTTTTCAAAATAGACTAAATGAAATTTTAAAATCTTTAAATGATTGTAAATATGATAAAGTAAGTATTTATATTTTAGTTTAATTTAAAACTTAAAGATTAACATACCTTTTTTTTTAAAAAATTTAAATTTTATTTTTTTATAATACTCTATTCAGATAAAATCAATTAGAGATAGTGTAAATAAATCAATTCGATTATATAATCAAATAAATTTAAATTTGGATGATCAGGTTATTCCAACTACACCCTCACATATAGAGGCCAAATTTAAACTACAAGAACAACAAAATCATTTTCAAAACAATAGTGTATATAGCTCACCAAATAAAATCCCTCAAACCCCACCATTTTATTCATCATCTCAATATAAAAAAACCATTGGTTCATCATCTGCATCCTCATCTACAATTAGCTCACCTTCGACCCAATCCCCATCACTTTTATCCTCTAACACAAGAAAACATCAATTAAATACAACAACAACAACTACTACCTCCACATCATTAAGCCATCCATCATCCCCAACATTCAAACCCATATCTTCCTATAGTGCTTTTTCTTCACCAAACCTTAAATCTAAAAACCATATATCCTCATTAACATCCACATCTTCATCTACATTACAATCATCAGTGTCACCCAAAACCACCCAACATCCAAGCTCACCTGGTTTCAAATCACTCCCAGTTGGCTCATACGCATCACCACCAAGCTCCCCATCATTCAATATAAACTCTACATCATCATCACTTTCAACATCACCATTAATATATTCCTCGACCAACGGCGATAGAAAAGAAACCAAAACAAATACCAATTTATTCAGAGATATATTTAATCAGCACCAGCAACAACAAATACAGCAACAACAGCAGCAAATACAACAAAAACAACAACAACTTGAATACCAACAAAAACAAAGGCATCTACAACAACAACAAAAAACACATCTACAACAAAAACAACATTACAATAGTATATTTAATGATAACTTTAGCATTGTAAATAATATAGACGACAAGGAACACCATGAAGAGGATGGCGATAACAATACTAATGGTGATGACGAAGATGAATATAACATTCATATAAAAAATCATAAACATCACCTTTCATCAACACATAAAATACTTGATGAAAATGATCACTCATTATTTGATCATGATTTTAACAACCTCTCAATAGATAATATAAACAGTGACACAAATGTTTTAACTCTATCATCATTAAAACCAAACCCTACATCACCCTTGCCAACCCCTATCAAAACAGGAACTCCACCTTTAAAGCCATCAAACGACACAACATCAACCTCCAAGGTGTATAATGATAACAATAGTAGCAATATGAATAATGTAAATAATATAAACAATAGTAATAATAATACAAATAATATAAATAACAGTAATATCAATATAAACTCATTATCACCTAAATTAAACATCAAATCTAAAGAAACCTTAAATACTACAACGACAAATACGACAGAAGAAAAAGAAACCGTCAAAATATTAAATGAAATGATGCAAACAATGAACGATTTTATGATTGAAACTAGAGAGAGTATTGGCCAAATCAAAAATAGACTAACTGTAGTGGAGTCCTCAGTTCTAACGCTACAAAAATACTATTTATCAAAATAACTAGTAAATATATAAACACATAAATAAAGTCTTTTAAACAATATAATCTTTTTAAAAAAAAAGAATTTTAAATAAATAAAAAAATACAAATAAAACGAGCAACATAATAATAACTTTATTCTGTTATTAATAGTTGTTCTTGTTTTTGTTTATTTTCTTCGGTTTTTAAATCTTTTAAAATTTCTTTTAATTGATCCTTTACACCATTTATATTTTCACCATCTTTTGCGATAATTGGTACAATTTTGAAATCACCCAATGATTTAATTGCTTTTTCGAAATCTGCTAAATGTTCTTTGGCAAAGGTACCATCCATTTTATTTGCAACGATAACAGATGGTTTTTTGGTTAAACCTGGTTTATAACTTTCTAACTCCTCTAAAAGGGCTTTAAAATCTTTCCATGGTGCTCTGTATGTTTCATCTTTAACTTTAGTTTTAATTTGTCTTCTTTGTTTAGTGATATCTTCTTTATCTGTAAGATGAGAATAACGGTTTGGTTTGACCTTTAATTTTTTTCCATCCCAAAATGCTGGAACATTACTATTTGACATATCAATAACATAAACAATAGCTTTGGTTCTTTCAATATGTCTTAAAAATCCTAAACCTAAACCTAAATTTAAATGTGCACCTTCTAAAATACCTGGTAAATCTGCGATTGATGCTACATCAATAGTTGGTTCAAGTTTTTGCTTTCTTCTTCTTCTTGATAAACTGATATTATTATTATTATTATTATTACTATTATTATTAATATTATTACTACCTATAAAATCAATTGTACCAACATATGGATTCATTGTTGTAAAAGCATATGATTTTATATTTGGAATTGCATTTGATATAACTGAAAGCAATGTACTTTTACCAGCATTTGGGAAACCTACTAAACCAAAATCTGCAATAATTTTTAATTCTAACTCTATATATTTAATTTCACCTTTTGTACCTGGCTCTGAGTAATCTGGACTTCTATTTGAACCACTTGAAAAATTTGCATTACCTTTACCACCATGACCACCTTTACAAATTACCAATTCTTTACCTGGTTCATCCATATCAATTTCTTTGCTAACCTGCCATATTTTACTGGTGTCACGAAGTTTTAATGAACTTTCACTTGAACCCTTACCACCCAAATGGTCAATAACGTTTGTTTCATCATTAATCTTACCATCAACCAATGGACTACTTAAAGCTTTCAAATAAAGATTTGGTTCAAACTCTGGGCTTTCTGGATCGTATCTTGGGTCTTTTTTTGAAATAATAGTTTCATCATCGTGCTCTGCTGCATCTTCTGGTTTATAAAGCTCTCTGATTACAGTTCCAACTGGTACACGTAAAACAATATCTTCGCCAGTTCCACCTGCCCTTCTTTCACCTAGACCCTTGCCACCATGTTTACCAACATAATTCTTTTTTAAATGTGAAAGATTATTATTGTCTAAATCTGCTCTAATAATTACATTTGCTCCATTACCACCATTACCACCATCTGGAGGACCTTCTGGGATATATTTGGCTCTATAAAAACTGATTCCACCATCACCACCATCACCTGCTTTAACATTTACTCTAATTTTATCGATGAATGATAAACGTGAATAGTCACCTGTATAATATGGTTTCTCTTTAACTGATCCAAATGAATTCATTGCTTGCTCTTCTTTAAACTCTTGATATGACATGTTGCTAATCCTTTCAAACTCCTCACTGTGTGTTATCGTTGTATTTGAAGAAGTTGAATAATATTTATTTACATTTTTTAATTTTATTATATTTAAATTTTTAAAACCATCAACCAAATTATTTATTTTTTTAATATTTCTACTACATTTTAACATTTTATTTTAAAAAAAAAAATTTATTAATTTAATAAAATTTTTTTAGATATTTTAAAAAAATAAAATATTTAATATATAATATAACTAATAAACTATAATTATTTGTTTCTAATTAATTTATGAAAAATAATTACTTAAAAAATCTCAGAACTAATTTAAAAAAAAAAAATTAAAAAAAAGCCGAATTCAACGTTGGCTTTAAAAATAAAAAAAAAAAATTAAAAAAAATTTTAATTCGTTTTTTTAAAATTGGTTTAAAAATTTTTTAAAATTTTTTTTTTTTATATTATCTTTGATATCATACTAAAAAATGGTAAAATCACATACAACATATAATCTATCAAATTCATCATTTATCTTTTAAATATTTATAATAATTATCATTAATCTTTAAAGATAAATCATTTATCCAATATATAAATCATAATAATGAATGATAGATTCAATATCCCAATAGTTGATCAAACAGTATATTAATATTATTATTTTTTTCTATCATCATTAGACAACCCGTCCATTTGTTCAAGTATTCGACGCTGAAAATAAAGTTGTTGGTAAAGTTAGACTTCCATCAGTCTTAACCACCCCAATTAGACCAGATTTAGTCAACTTTGTTCACACTCAAATCAACAAAAACGACAGACAAGCTTATGGTGCTGCTCCATACGCTGGTGAACAAACCTCTGCTGAATCATGGGGTACTGGTCGTGCTGTTGCTCGTATTCCACGTGTTCCAGGTTCTGGTACACACAGATCAGGTCAAGGTGCCTTCGGTAATATGTGCCGTGGTGGTCGTATGTATGGTCCAAACAAGACCTGGAGACGTTGGAACAGAAAAGTTAACGTCAACCAAAAGAGATACGCTGTTGTCTCAGCTTTAGCTGCCTCAGCCGTCCCAGCCCTCGTTATGGCTCGTGGTCACAGAATCTCAGGTATCAACGAAGTTCCATTAGTTATTGCCAACGAATCAATCGAAACCGTCAACAAAACTAAAGCCGCCGTTGCTCTCCTCAAAAAAGTCAACGCTTACGCTGATGTTGAAAAAGTCATTGACTCAAAACACATCCGTGCTGGTGCTGGTAAATCAAGAAACAGACGTTACAAAGTCCGTAAAGGTCCATTAGTCGTCACCACCGGTAAATCAAAATTAGCTTTAGCTTTCCGTAACATCCCAGGTGTTGAAATCGCTAACGTTCAAAGACTCAACCTCTTAAAATTAGCCCCAGGTGGTCACTTAGGTCGTTTCATCATTTGGACCAAATCTGCCTTCGAACAATTAGACCAAGTCTTCGGTACCTTCGAAAAGAAATCAACCCAAAAGAAAGGTTACACTTTACCACGTCCAGTTATGGCCAACGCTGATGTTGTCAGACTCGTCTCATCTGATGAAATCCAAGCTGCCGTCAACGCCTCTAAAATCGTTGTTAAAAGACCAACCACCACCGTTCGTAGATCAAACCCACTCAAGAACGTTGCTGCTATGGTTAAATTAAACCCAGCTGCCGTCTCAACCCGTCGTACCCAAGTTGTCAGCAAAAAATCAAAATCATTAAAAGTTAACAAGAAAAACCAATTACGTTCAAAATTAGTTGGTGCCACCCTTGCTTAAATTTAAAAAAATAAATAATTAATTTTATTTAAAAAAAAAAATTATCTCATTATTTATTTTATTATTCACATTATTTTTATCTAATTTTTATTTATCTTTATTTTTAATTATTTTTTATTTTTTTTATTTTTTTTATTATTTTTTTAAAAAAATTAATTTTCTTTAGTTTTTTTTTTTTATTATTTTTTAAAAAAATTGGATTAATAATGTCAAATGGTTCAAATATCATCCCATGTTTAAATAGTTTAATTAAAGATACAAATATAAATATAAATAATCAAAATAATCAAAATTTTATAGAATCATTAATAAAATTTTCAAATATAGTCACAATAAAAGATAATACCAGCGAAATTGAAATCGATTATGTTTTAAATATTATTTTAAATTATTTTAAAACAGATTTTTATATAGACAATCCATTTTTTTTCGATAGTTTTATAGATTTTTTAAAAACAACAAGCAATTTTAACTTTTATAACTTTTTAAAATCAATTTTGGTTTTAAATATACCACCAAATTTTCAATATTATTTCATAGATAGATTAATAGAATATAATAATAATGTTAATAATAACAACGGTAATAATAATGTATTACCAGAAGATTCTTTGTTAAAAGAGGTAAGTTAAATCTTGTTAAACTATAAATTTATTTCTAATATTAATAGGTTTTTTATTTTTACACAATTATAGATTTTAAATAAAAATAAAAATGATAAAATAGTTTTAAATAAATTAATAGGTTTTGGTAGATTTAAAAATAATAGTAGCAATAATAGTAATACATTTAATGGTAATGAAGAAAGTTTAATTTTTGGTACAATAAATTTAATTACACCCAAAGAAATTTTAGATAGAGCTATTCGAGGTATTAATGAAATATATTCATTAGATTATTTAAATCAAGAGCACGATTATATAGATTTGGTTTATTGTATTCAAGATCACCCTTCTTTTAAAGAAATGCTTCATTTTTTAAAATCAAATTTTGACCACTCTGTAATTGAATGGCTAAATATGGATCTGGAAATTTTAAATCAATATTATCAACATTACAATGATGACAGGTTAATTTCAAATAAATTTAATTTTTATTCTAGGTGCATACACTTATATATATCTTTTTCAAAATAACAATATTAAAAATAAATAAATAATAATCTAACAATAAAGTTTTTTTAATTATTATTATTAATGTTATAACTTTTTGATTTTTTAATTTGTAATATTTATTTATTTTTTTATAAACTATTAAACTCTGTAGTATATTGGTGAAGTAATTTTATTGATTTATTTATATGATCAATAAGTAAAAAATAAAGAAACTTTCTATATTTGATAAAAATACAATATATTTTAATGTATTACAATTATTATAAAATAATTCACAACAGTGTTGATTTATAAAAAAAAAAAATTAAAATTTTTTTTAAATAAATATAATTCATTATTTTATTTTTTTTTTATTTATTATTTAAATTTTCAAAATTGATTAATAAATTTATATATTTACAACTATATTATTATCAATATATTTTATTTTATTATTTAGTTTTTATAATTGATAATAAACTATGCAAAAAAAAACATCAAAACAAACAAAGCCGGTATCAAATAGCATTAAATTAAAATGGGAATATTGTGGTAAAGTTACGAAAACAGGTCCTTGTAAAGTATGTATTAACATTCAAATTATTATTTTATATTATTTTCTTTTAACTAATAATTTTATATTTATATAAATATAAAAAGAATATAAAAGTAAGAGGTATGTATAGTTTTTTAAATAATTATTATTACATTTTTCATTTTCATTTTTATTAATTAAAATACTAAATATAGATAGAGATACTTGTTCCATTCATGGAAAGAAAATACCAGAATATTGCAATAAAACTACAAAAAAAGGAAGTAAGTGCAAAGCAACTGCTGGAAAATGTGTTTTTCATTCACCAGGTTTTAAACCCAGAGAAAGAAAAGAAAAGGATGATGATTCCTATTGTAGCGCCGGTACTCTAAGGGGAAGAAGATGCACAAAAGCAGCTATTAATGGCTCAAAGTATTGTTTTATTCATTCAAATGCACCAAAGGATCTATGTGGTGCACCAAAAGTTGATGGTGGTACTTGTAGAAACGCAAAATATTGTTGTTCATTTCATTCATATAAATATAGAGATAAAGAGATAGAGAGTGAAAAAGAAGACGAATAGATTATATACAATTATAACACCTAAAAAAAACAAAACAAACAATTTATCTAAAAAATAGTTTATAAAATAAATTAATAAAATAAATAAAATCCACCATTTAGTTTGGTGGATATAGTTTTGTATAATACATGTGTAATTAATTTTTTATTTTTATTTTAAAGTTAATACAATGGAATTTGGTTTAGTTGGTATCCTTGATATCAATGCTGCTGCTGCTGTCGTTGTTATCGCTATTTTTATTGGCATCTTCAACTAGATTTCCAAAACCTGTTTTGAGAATTTCTACAAGGTTTTCAGTTGCAAATAAATCGTTAATCTTGTTTGGTTCTGGGACATCACAATCTCCTCTTTGGGCTAATAATAAAAGTTGTTCTTTAATACCTTTAATAAATTTATCTGGATTGTTTAACATTTGACCTTGTAATTGATCCATAAAATTGTTATCTTTTAAAATATCATTTATATCTAAATTATTGAAAAATTCAGAGTTGATATGATCAATACCTTTTGTAAAATCTTCATCAATTTTTTTTTCTCTTTCTTTGTAAATTGTTTGTTTTTGTTGTGGTTGTTTTTGTTGTGGTGCTTTTTTTTGTTGTTGTGATTGTGGTTGTTGTGGTTGTTGTGGTTGTTGTGGATTATTGTTGTTATTATTATTGCTATTATTTGTATGAGCTTTTTTCTTTTGTTTTTTAATTGCAATCAATCTACTGTTAACCATTTTATTGAGTTTATAAGTGTGTGTGAATAATAAAATAAATTAAAAAATATTAAAAAAAAAAAAAATTTTAAATTTTTTTAAATAAAAAAATTTAAAAAAAAAAAAAAAAAAAAAAAAAAAAAAAAAAAACTATATAACTACAAAAAAAAAGATTTAAATCTTTAAGGATTTTTAAAATTATTCACATCAATATAAATTTAATAATTTTTAATTTTTATTTTTTAGTTTAGGTTTTTTTTGTTATAATTATTTTGGTCGGTTCCATTTTTTTTACAGTAGGTTTAATTAATAAATAAATAAATAGATAATTTTTTTATAAATATTTAACAACCAAAAAATGGACGTGAATAACAGTTTGAAAATACAATCTTTGAAGATTTTAATGTATTTGAGACAGTATTTAAAGTTAATTCATTGTTGATACTGTTTGATAATGTTACATTCATTGATGATGATGATTTGTTGTTGTTTAATGAAATGATTGATTCTATAATTAAATAAAATAAAAAAATTAATATTTTTTTTAAATAATTTGAAATTTAATAATCTAAACTTACTGAATAACATTTTTAAATATTGGCTTTTTTTATAGTGTTTAATTTATAATTTATAATTTTTAATGATTTATATAAAAATAAATTTTTTTCTCTATTTATATTTTTTTTTTTTAAAAAAAAAAAAGAAAAAATTAATAAAAACCAAATTATAACCAAACCTTTAAATTGAATTGTTTAATTATTTAAAGAAAATTAAATCGTATAGATTAAATTTAATTTTTTATTTTTAAAAAGGTAATAGATTTTAATCACTAACCACACTAAAAAGAGTAAAAATTAATTTTTAATAATTAATTTGATAAATGATGTTTTTAAAAGTTGTAATTTGCCTGTTGTTGCTATACAGTAGTAGTTATATAGTGTTATTAAAATTACTTTAATTTTATCTTTTGCTTAAAATTAAAATGATTCTATCAAATTTTTAGATATGTTTTGACTAATAAAAAATTTACTTTTAATAAAAGAGTATTAATTTGTTTAGATTAATTTTTTTTTTAAATCTATTTTTACAAATTAAAAAATGATTCTATCATCATTTAATTTATATAATAATTGATTTTATTTTTAAAAAAAATTAATAAATAAAGACATTTTATTTTTATAAAAAATTTTAATAGGGTATAGTATAGGATAGGGTATACTAAATTGAAATTAAAATAATTATTTGGTTTTAATGATTATTTCAAAACTTCAATATCAAATTAAATGGTGGGTGAAATTAATTAATATTTTAAAAATTGAACAAAAAAAAATTGAATACATGATTAATTAATTGTAAAAAACCGCTATAAAATAATAGATCTTGAAACTGAAATTTATTACCTTAATAAAAGAGGATTCCAAATAAAGTTTGAGATTAAATTTTCTTAGTTTTAATGAATGTTTGTTTTAAGCCCAATAATTTAAAAAAAGAAAAAACTAAACCCCACTTTTTAAAAAAAACAGTTTTTTAGTAACAAAATAATGAATAATAGTTTTAAATACGAAATATAATGTTTAAATTTTTTAATTTAATTAAAATACATATAATATTTTTTATTTATATTTTTTATCATTTTTTTTATTGGTCGAGCCCTTTTTAAAATACATTTAATAAATAATTCGAATTGGTTTTTTCTTTTTTATTTAATACAACTTCAATTGTTTAGCAGTTGAAGTATGGTCTTGTGTATACGGCAATTGTTGCTGTTTTTGATGAAACACCATTTGAGTCAAAACTATTTAAATTTTTTGATGAAATGGTGATTGATGATGATGATGATGATTTGTTGTGGTTTAATGAGATAATTGATTCTATAATAGAATAAAAAAAAATATTAATATTTGATTATATTAATTTTTAAATTCAATAGTATACATACTGAATAACATTTTTTAATTTGGAGTTTTTAAATTTAGATTTATAATATATATTTATTTGTATTTGTTTTTAATGATTAAATAAAATATTCTTTTTTCTATTTATATTTTTTTTTTTTATTTTAAAAAAAAAAAAATTAAAAAAAAAAAAAAAAATATAAAAACACACACAACCCCATTATTAAATAAAATTTGATAAATGATGTTTATCAAATTTGTAATTTGACTGTTGTTGCAATATTGTTTTTATCAGGAGAAGAAAGTTTTTATTTAATGATTATTATAAATATAATGATTACATCAATGATTAAGAATAACAATATTTTTTTTTGATATGATAATCATAAAGGAGTATTTTTATTATGATATCATTTAATTTTTTTACATTTTTAAATATAATCATATCATCATTTAATTTTAATTTCATTTTTTTTTATTAAAAATTAATTAATAAAAAACAATTTTTTATTTTTTCAATTTTTTTAATAAGGCACCAATATGAATTTATATATGAAAAATTAAAATAAAAATAAAATAAAGTAGATGATATAAAAATGAAATTTGTTTTTATTGGATTAATTAATTTAAAAAGTTTTCCTTTATTTTTTAAACAACAAATTTGAAAAAAATATTTTTTTTTAATAAAGAAATTAAAAAATTAAAACAAAATATATATGTCAAAAAAAAAATAGAATATTAATTTAAAAAAAAAAACAATGAAAAGTAAAGTGATTTATGATTATGAGTTTAATTACTTTTT